AGACTTTCTGTATCTCCGCAGGGGCGCGGTGCCAGCTGCAGCGATTGGTTGTGGAAACAGACAGCTTCTGGGCCAAAACTACTGCGTATACTACTGCCGCGTCACTGCCTCCAAGAGCTACTGAGTCGTTAAATTTGGTATGTGGGGAACTAAACTTTCTGGAATTTTGATGTGGTATGTGTTCGTTGCCAACACTTCCGACCGTTTTGCGACGTCTTCTTTACAATCGTTTATTGCGTCAAAATCACACATAAATACTGGATATACAGGGTGTCCCAAAAAAATGTGTCTACTGTTTGACTGTTAATAACTCTCTTGTAATGAAGTCTTTCAAGATGTACCGTTTTGTAGAGCTGGCTTCAACTTAGATTTACAGTATAGAGCGAAGCACCGATCGATCTTTATTACTGTACAATTACGGTAGAAACTTCAAATATATGGTGTCAGTGTGGAAAAAGCTGCCGTTTTAAAAATTTTCAAAAAAATGTGGTAACTTGTGTAATAGTGTTTTCTGGACGGTAAGTTCAATACTCAACTATGTAAAAGATTGCGAAACTTTCTAACCACTGTAACCGCAGTTTTTAGGAACATTTCTATACTGTGAATCTAAATTGAAGCTACCTCTACAAAACGGTACCTAAAGCTTTTCAAAAGACTTTATCACAAGAGAGTCATTAACAATCAAAAAGTAGGCACATTTTTTAGGACACCCTGTGTAGGACGAAAATAGGATAATGAGGTAGTGGGCAATAGTTGAGGGAAGCGGGAAGCAACGATTCTGAGGCAAACGAGTTGATTACTATGTGGCCGCATGCATTAACATTCCCGCTAGGGGGGAGGGGACCTCATAAGTTGAAGCTCTGGATAGCTAAATTTCATGCTATTTATCCGGGGAAAAGATCTTATTGTTAGAGGCACTTTCGCACGTATTTTATAGACCAGCGCGTTGAGATTTCTAAACATTGAGAATTATATAAGCGATTCGCAAAAATTCTCGATAACTCCCTAGTCTGAACAGGTCTTGTTCAATAAACGGGATTCAACATATGATTCAAAATTTCAAATTCTAAGAAAAGTAACAGAAGTAATACAAGGAACATCGGGCTTTGCCTACATCATAAATTTGGGTCAATAAACGATTGTGCATAGTCTCTGCGCCACCCTTCTGATCGCACCGTGTTGCGCAGCAACCTCGTCAGAAGAATTCATAACTTTTTTCTAGTACAACTGCGAATTGGCTACTTTTAACACGTTTCGGACCGGTGCTGCACATGGTGCAGCACGCACCTTTGGAGGATCTTTTCAACATTTACAGGAGGTTTTCTTTTGTCCAAGGTTATCAAGTCAAAGGCCTAAGCTTCTTCCTCTCGAAAGGGTCTGTAGAGCTGTGCCATGGATAATTGTTCAGGAGATATGAGGACAAACCGAACATCAGTTGTAACGAAGTGCGGCAACGCGAACGACGCGTGCGAGGTCGCAACTTTTCTTAGCTTTCAATACAAAGAGAAAAACAGTAGTTCCAATAATGATGTGTATCTTGTACAACATAGATACTTTTGGCCACAATTAGAAACTGAGTTCTTATTCCTATCTTTCAAGAAAGCACAAAGGTCCTTCTCAGACGACAAAATTCAAGCACTTCGAATTCACTCAGAACTCTGGGTATGGATCTTATCTGACATGCTGATTACAGATGTACCACACAATCTACAAATTAATGTCCCTTTGTTGGCTAACGGCCTCTTTTTCGCCACGCGCGATTTCGCGATCCGAAACGTGTTAATTTCGAAGTCACTACCACATTTTACAATCAGTAGAAAATTTCTCAAATCCACGCTGGGTAGTACGAAAGAATTTTTCAAAAAACTTCACACACTCTTCCATGTAAAATAGCGTTGCTAGAATTGATGAGGGTGCGTTAGAAAGAGGGATCTGCCAAAATTGCAGAATTGAAGCAGTTTTTGTGAACTGCTAGAATATATTCACATCTTGAGATTCACGTCGAATTCACCAGAAAACCTGGAAATCAGGCAGATTTCTCTACCTTTATCTCCCATGTAATGAATATATGTCGATGCACCCTTTTTTCTTTTCTAAAACGATTTTCAGCGCTTGACATTTGCTATCCTCTTCCCGGACCCTTTTCTCGCTAGATCTAACATCTCCATACTTTATGCCGGTTGTAGCTTGAACCTTTTCCTCTGGAGAGGGAATTCAAAATGATTTTCTACCGTACTTCAAACTTATTCTTGACTGTCCCTGGTAGACTTGAAAATCGCAGCATCCCAGCTCTATGTTATGTCCAACAAACGCTTTCGTGTAGGAGCTCCGGCGCGCTGTTGCATGCAGGTAACCCCAATGTAAGCCGAAAGAGATCGAAACTAAAAACACAATAACACATTTCGATAATTTATAAGCTCATCAAAGACTCCCACTTAAGACAGAGGCGGAACATTTTAAGCATTTAATGGAGTTGATAGACCTGTTCCTAGGGCTACGCTTTTGTTTTCCGCACTCTCTAGCTGAAAACCCCCCTCGCTTCAAGCCGCCACATCTTCGCTTTTATGTGGATCTGGAATGTGGTGATCAATCCTGGGTATTTTTTTCTGTCTGGAGCATTTTTGCGGAGCTAGTTTGGAACAAAGTCGAAACTGGCTGAGCAAGAAGAGTCATTTGGTAATCTGATGTTGTGGATGATGCTTTGGGTACGTCGAAACGTTAGGGCCAATACGAAAAGTTGCCACCATAACAAACCTGTTTGGCATAGCAAAATTGAAGAAAATTATCAAGAATGCTAGGTTTGAACAAAACGGATCTTGGAAGTTATTAGAAGACGTACCGCCACGGTTGTTCCGTCTAACAAAGGAAGCCTTATCGCTTCGACAAAGAGCAGTAACTATGCGGCAGTCCTTAGTTTTCTTCCAGCGTTGCAAGAGAACAGATATACTACCTACCTTCATCAGGAATAAGAAAATAGAAAACACATGTGGTCTGAGCGAAAATGATCCGAAGATTTTGAATATTCACCATTTTATTCTTCGTGTTGTTATCAAAGGAAAACAGAGATCATTGTATTCCACCTTGTTGAGTGTTATAAAAGAAGAGGCCTGCGAACGTTTCTTGCCGAGTCGGGCATGGGGGAAGATTAAGGACGGCTCAAAGATAGTCTGCGATGTGATTCGATCTGATGCTAAATCAAAGCTCAGGGCTAAGTGCGACCGCCTTCTGAGCGACTCTTGTAAAAATTGTTCCCATGACACAAATATAGGGGCCTGCAGGATCGCGAGAGTCGGACGCGCGTACGGCCTTTGCGCCGCGCACGCCTGATATCGCTGGGTCGTAGTCGATTAAGGCTAGATAGGTAAGTTTTTTTGTTTTTCTTTACATTTCACGCCTTCTTTTCTTTTCAGACGGTGAGCACATGTTGGTGCGGAGGAGTTTAAGATCTGAATTAAGATGAGGTGCAGGATTATGCTCAATACGAACTCAATATTGCAGACCCTCCATGCCTGCTGGTTGAGATGTTGGATTTTCTGTCTTGGCTGCCCTGTTACAGCAATTACAGCATTGTTCTATTTCTACCGTCTATTCTACCTTATCTTGCATATTGCTTGTGATGATGATGATGATGATGATGATGACAATGGTTATGATTGTGATGACGCGCATGATGCAAGATGAGGTAGAACAGACGTTGCAAATAAAACGGAGTTCCGTAATCGGGCAGGCAGGACGAAAAATCGAACATAATCGGACAGCCAGAACAGAAAACTCAACATTCTTCAAAGCAGGGGTGAAAAGTCCACACTATTTGCCCGTATTGAGCATAATCCTGCACCTCACCTTAATCTAGATCTTAAACTCCTCCGCACCAACATGTGCTCACCGTCTGAAAAGAAAAGAAGGCGTGAAATGTAAAGAAAAACAAAAAAAACTTACCTATCTAGCCTTAATCGGCTACGACCCAGCGATATCAGGCGTGCACGGCGCAAAGGCCGTACGCGCGTCCGACTCTCGCGATCCTACAGGCCCCTATAGCCAACCGAATCACCGCTTAAAACCTTTTTCATCCAATAATGAAACGGCGGCCAGAGTCACGATCATCGGCAACGCTCAACTTTCCATTGATGCTATTGACCTTCTTAGCCTTGGTCCGTCTTCCTCCCGGCACAGTCCATCAATGCTAGAACGTGTCGCATGAAGTCGGAGGATTACATAAGCTCAGGGATTCGCTTAAAATCAAAGCGAAAAATAAGAACATGCAGACAAGTGCACCCAAAACTAAGAGGCTGCTACCCACTATTTCATTTCCATGATCGTTTTACAGACAGCCTGAATAAAATGTCGTATTCTATCTTCTGGCATTTTGGAAGTTCTAAACAAGTTCAAACACCAGCATCAAAAGAACCTCACACAAAAGCAGTTGTGCGATTTCAAAGATGTACGCGATCTTGTATCAAATGACACAGTGCGGTTGTCCATCAGCGACAGAGGTGGCGAAATCGTGGTAGTGCTCCAAGATTTGGACCGCAGCATAACGATAGCACATCTCGCAGACGCGTCGCTGTACAAATCACTTTTTGAGAAAGACTATCATGCTCAATGTAGAAAGCTGAACGATACTTGGACCGCGATATGCAGATCTGCTGGTATTGATCTGCTAGTTTGGAACAAAATCGAAACTGGCTGAGCAAGAAGAGGCATTTGGTGGTGTGATGTTGTGGATGATGCTTTGGGTCGTTTTTAGGCCTCTGAGGACGACGAAAGCGTCAAAACGTTAGGCCAATACAAATAAAGTTGACACCATAACAAACCTGTTTGGCAAAGCAAAATTGAAGAAAATTATCAACAATGCCAAGGTTTAAACAAAACGGAACTTGGAAGTTATTAGAATCCTGGGTATTTTCCCTTGCTCAAAGCTTTCTGGAGATTCAACTTTCAGAGACTTGGGTACACCATTACTGAGTGTTTTCTACAAATGCGTGTTCCAATAGGATTTATCAGAACGAGCTTATAGGAAATTCGTCGAGTAGCACGGTACCATCGGTATCCGTGAATGTCAGTTGTACTAGTGATGGCCAAAGCGTTTTAAGATGTGCGATCAACTTTGAGCGGTGTCCAATAAGACGTTTTCTTTGGTAAGTACGATAGCATTGTATTAGACTTGGATCAACATCTTCTCTGAAAGTGCTAAATGCATATCCTTGACATCTTAACAGCTGCTTACTTACCCTTCCTGTTTGTGATCTATCAATTGATCCGAAATTGTTAGCGATTTCAGATTTTGTGTGTAATAGGATAACGATTCAAGATCGGCGCAACTGACTGTACATAGCTCGAAATTCATACTGATCACTTCAGAAAACATCGCAAATGGGTCCAATGCATTCCTCTGCGCAATGATGTTCAGGATGAGGTTTGGCGTGCTCATGGTAGACTTACTGCCAGGATGCTTTCTTACATCTCATGATGGAAGCGTTTGATTCCGCTAAAATCCACTTCTACCAAGCGATGTTTGGGAAGCATAGACATATATTTTCCAAACTGAAATTTGACCAATAAGCTTCTGAAGATGCTAGGCGATAGCGCACCTCATCCCGAATATGGAATAAGCTTTCGAATTGTTGCTTTTTTGTGTCCATGTGCGGGAATAGCTGACAAAATCCCCCAACTCCGATGCGTAAAGTCTTTTGAAGTTGCCAGTGTCCATCCACGATCTTCCTACAGATTATGCTTCAATTCAGAGGCTTGGAGTAGCCAAATTCTATCTTGGTGAGGGAGTAAGAAAAAGTCCACATCGGATTTTGTCAAATCCTAAAACGCTTTTGCCTTTTTTGCGAGAAAATTTCCGCGCTAAGTGCTAAATTATTTGATTAGTGAGATTTCCTACAATTTATCGAAAAGAAGAAATTATGAGAGCTGTTTTTATCAGTAGGACACTCAAGAAGGAGAGAATATCCTGTGGCCGTATTTATCAAAGAAACCAATTGGCTTCGAAACCCATTGGATAAGCTTAACTCACGAGACCGTTATCCACGAAATTAGTGGGCACCGGAACGGTCCCACAAAACTCGCGGTTGATTTTTTTCTAACTTTGGATGCGCCTAGTGTCTGCAGGTGCTATTTATCTATCCTTGGCTATCGGTGTTTATCTTTAATATCTCTGTGATGTGTGAGAGTCGAAATGCACATTAGCGGCAATATGAAGGAAAACATGGAGGATGGAAAGCATGGAAGGGTGCACAAAAGCGGTCAGCGGCGGCTACGGGTTGCTGGCGGCTGTTACGGGCTGCTACGGGCTTTGTTCCTTTTTGCTATTATCGAGATAGATAACAGCTCTTTGGCCAGTGGACAATGGCGTGCTTGTAGTGCACAAACGGAGGGATCGCGGACTATCCTACAGCACTGAGAGGGGCGAAATGACCTGACTCGGTAGGCCACCCCCGGATTTATTATAAGATCAGTGCTTATCTGATGCACTCACCAAGTTTGATGTTGCACTCTCAATGTCTCATTTGTCCTTTACTAATTGTTTTCTGTGTCCATAACTTTTGTAAACATTAATCAATCAATTGTGTCTGTTGATCACATTTCGTATGTCGTTGTTTCAGTATAGCGGATCGCGGCTAACAAGGGTTCAAAGAAACAAACTAATAGTCAGTAATATTTACTGAATACATATAATTAAATCAAAGTGACCACTTACTTTCAAAGTTAGAACAAAAAACCACAACAAATTATCAGGTGCCTCCAAGAATGCGAAACCTGTATCGAGCTTCTCTTCTGCAGTGCATTGCGGTGGTATCACCTTCTGCATCGTTGCGTGCACTTCTTATGACATACTGGTTTATTAATGAATGTACACTGTTGACGAGGAGGGTGAGTGTGGAGTTTTCGGCATTTCTAAACGTCTACGTGTCAAAAACGTTACCGTAGCAAACTTTCCCGAAACTTTAGGCTTTATTCTTCTTATAGGCGATTCAGCGTAGGCAGAGACAGGGCTTCACCGCGGACGCTTCAGCACCTTGCTGTCTCAGCGTCCTCACCCCTCTTGCCCTCTACTGTCTATCCCATAGACGAACTATCTTATATCAGTCGGATGCAACGGTGTTTAATCTGCACGTGCGCTGACTCGCCTACTTTCAAAGGAAACGAGATTCTGCCTCGGAAATCTTTTAAGCTAGCAATTTGCAGTAATGTGAATGTTGTACTTACCCCGACGCGTTGGTTTTTGCAGACTTTCGCACAATGTGGTCGACAATGTGGTTTTTTCCCTACTACGTGGTGGACCACCACATTGGTGCTCTGCCACTCCAGACTTACTCCAAGAATGGAAAAGAGCAGAAGACTGATCAGTAAAAAGTTCATTGTTCTCGTTTGGGTAGAAGAATTCTTAGTGCTGATATGCATGAGCTTTGCTCATATATATACTGCAAGTTTTGTACTCAGCCACAATGAGCGAGCAAGTTCTGCAATGTCCTATATTGTCTTACTCATAAAATCTTTGATGTCTATTACGTCACGCTGATTCTCATCACCAGTGATTAAGGAGGAATGGAGAATGTAAACATTGAATTATTTGTGACGGCCTCGTTGAGGAGGTTCCATCTTTTACAAAATGCTCTAAAACTACAGCATCATCTTGCTCATGAAAAGTAGCATACGTGAAAAAACTAGAAAATTTATTTTGTAATAAACTAGAAGTGAGTATTTGCTTGGGAAGTATGCTTTCTTTTCGTAAGCGAATGGTAGTGTATTACCCGGCCTACCAAAAACAATGACATAGCGAGCAAGGATTTTGACGGTGCTGTTATCAAAATCTCTCCATATATATCTTTAATATGGTAAAAGATTGTTCTGCGAATTTTGATATTTCGAAAAATTTTGATTTATAAACTTCAGTGTAAATGTATCCTTTCTATAACACCTGAATTTTTTATTCTGTTTTGAATTTGATGTCATCATGCTCTTTGTGATTCTTAATCAGCAAAGGCCTTTATTTATCATTTTTTCCACACCTTTTCCGCCAATCGTAAAACCATATGTTTCTATGTTATTCTCTTTAAGGTCTGACGTTAACAAACAAAAACAGTTAGTGGCCTTTTTAGATTGTTGTGACACAAGGGCTGGTTTAAATGACGCGGGATTGCCAAATGAGAATCAAGGAAAGTACACTCTTCAATCATTTCCGCATTGCATAATATGTCTGAGTGATTATAGTGATCGGTAGCAATTGTTGAGGTAATCTTTTCTAAATGGCCTTATTACTATGCAATAACAGCAAAACATATAACCTTGCCGTCAAGGCAAATGTGCGCAAACCCCTTAGAAATTCTAGTAAAAGCATTGGAAACAATGACTCTCGCTTCAGACTTCCTTATGGCATCAATAGAAATTTACACTTACGCAAGACGAAAACCTAAATAATAAAATTTCCATAAAGATCATAGAACCGTAGCAACCGCTTAAGTGTTTCCAATGCTTTTACCTAGAATTTCTAAAGGGTTCGCCGGAGTTGGCGCCAGAGTCCGGCTTGCGTTGATTTGGAATTTCTGAGAACTAAGTCCCCATGACGTCAAAATTAGTAGGAAAACTTTGTTTAATCAAAAACAACACAAAGGCGAAAAAGCATGTTTTGAGGTTGAACACAAAACAAAAAAAGACATATTATAAGGTAGATTAGAGCCTTTGTTGGTGTTCACTATATCGAAAACCCCTAGGCCAATTTCAACCAAACCTTCAAACAGATAGCCTACAACAATCTGGAGATGCAATTGACGCCGCATAGTTCAGAGGACGCCCTGACACCATATGATTAGAGCGCGTTATCTATCAGTGCGTATGTTTGTGCTATTTTTGGTTTAGAAACGAGGAGAGACAATGGTTTGGTTTTCTCTTTCAAATATATAAAAGATTTTTGAGCTTTTGATCGTTCAAATCGAAATGTCCAATAACGTTAATTCTCCGACATCTATACTCCGAACCAATCAAGTTGGGTTGGTGTTGGTCTAGTAATCAACAGACTTGGGAACGAGGGTTAGAATACATAAGTTTTTGACATAATGTAGTTTGGAGTGATACTGCGTACACATAGAATTTTAAGCTTTTTGTAAAATTTTTGCCGTAAGGTTGTTTTCAAAGCAACTCCGCACTTTCTGGCTGAGATGCGCCAATGCCGTGAAATTCTCGCGTTTCCAACATGACTGGAATAGAATAACACTTTGCGATAATGTGTCTCAAGCGGAATTAAAGCGGATTTGATCTATCAATAATACACAGCCTCAACTTTTTGGTGAATTTTTTTCATAAAAAACGACAACTTGGACGAATCAAAATCAAAAAATTTCTATCATGTGTATTCTAATCAGGGCTCGGCACAGGTGGCTTACAAGCAAGCTGGATATCGTTTTTGGGACGAAAAGCAAAGGGGGTTTCGTTTTTGTGACCGAAGAGACACGGAAAATTGGCGACGGCGACCTTTTTTTTTGGTCGACGTTTCGTTTTTTGGGGGATTTTGGGGAATTTTTCAGGTTTTTAGAGGAAATTTGGTTGAGGGTCAAAGGGGACTTCGTGAAAATTCCCAAAAGTCAAGGGGGACTTCGTTTTTTTCCATTTTCATCTAGCCACCTCGTGCCGAGCCCTGATTCTAATCATTAACCAAGAATTTTCATGTCATTCTTTGCGTACTTCGTAGCTCTCACATATATCTTCCTATTAGGTTGTTACCTAAGTCTTGTTACACTTTAATTTCTTACAACGATAAGTCGTGAACTTCATAATTTTGATAGGGCTACAGGGCACCATTCGATAGAGCAAAGCAAGCTCTACAAGACAGTATGCAGAATCCACCAGCTCTGACCCACCGTAAGTTTGAATACGGAATATGTGTCGCGCTGAAGGCTCAAAAAATCGCGAAAAATCCATATCTTTGTTCAAAAAATCCTACGAATCTCCAGCTTGCTCATAAATATTGTCCACTATATCAAACACTCATATGTATTGTTGCTGTGTTTTTCCTCATCTAGAATCGAGAAAAGGAAAAGTTTTTAGTTTTTACAAAAATGAAGCTATGCTGTTTCTACTCATGTGGCTGTATACTACAAGCCCTTAGAAGTATAACCGTGTATTTTCAGCTCTCCACAAACCCTAGTTTTCGAAAATTACCAAATTTAGTTTCTCTCACTCGGGTGTTCAATGCTAAATTAGGTAATTTTCGAAAACTAGGGCTTCTGGAAAGCTGAAAATTCACGATTATACTTCTAAGGGCTTGTAGTAAACAGCTACATGAGTAGAAACAGCATAGCTCCATTTTTGTAAAAACTGAAAAATTTTCCTTTTTTTCAATTTCTAGATGAGGAAAAAATACAGGAACGGTACATTTGAGTATTTGATATAGTGGGCAGTTTTTATGAGCAAGTTGGATTTCGTAGGATTTTTCTGAACAGAGATATGAATTTTTCGCAAATTTTTAGCCTTCACTACGACTCAGATTTTGGATGCAAAGTTACAGTGGGTCGAAGTTGGTGCGAACTTTCGCATGCCATCTTGTAGAGCTTGCTTTGCTCTATCGAATGGTACCCTGGAGCCCTGTAAAGAAAATGAGGTGCATGACTTATCACCGTTAGAAGTTAAGTGTAACAAAACTTATGTAACAACCTAATACAATGCAAATCACTATACATTTTTGTTAAAGAGGGCTCTACGGCATAAGGGCAGTGATTTGAGACTTCCTGTATCTCCGCAGGGGCGCGGTGCCAGCTGCAGCGGTTGGTTGTGGAAACAGACGGTTTCTTGGCCAAAACTACAGCGTATACTGGCGCGCCACTGACTCCAAGGGCTACTGAGTCTTTAAAGTTAGTATCTGGGGAAGTGAATATTCTGGAATTTCGATGTGTATGTCTTCGTTGCCAACACTTCCGACGGTTTTGCGACGTCTTCTCTACAAACGTTTATCGCGTCAAAATCACACACAAATACTTGATATATAAGTCGAAAATAGCCTGATAATGAGGTAGTGGGCAATAGTTGAGGGGAGCGGGAAGCAACGATTCTGAGGCAAATGAGTTGATTACTAATGTGGTCGCATGCATTGACATTCCCGCCAGGGAGGGGACCTCATAATCTGAAGAAGCTCTGGATAGCTAAATTTCATGCTATTTATCCGGGGGAAAGGTCCTATTGTTAGAGGCGCTTTCGCACATTCTTATTATAGGCTAGCGCGTTGAGATTTCGTATAAACACGGAAAATTATATCCTAGGCGATTCGCAAAAATTTTCGTTAAGTGCCTAATCTGAAGAGGTCTTGCTCAATGAACTGGATTCAACATATGATTCAAGATTTCAAATTCTAACAAAAGTAGCAGAAGTAATGCAAAGAACATCGGATTTTCTCTACATCATGAATTTGGGTCAATAAACGATTGTGCATAGTCTCTGTGCCACGCTTTCTTATCGCACCGTGTTGCGCAGCAGCAACGTCGTTAGAAAAATCCACAACTTTTTTCTAGTGCAACTGCGAATTGACTACTTTTAGGATATTTCGAAGTCACAACCACATTTTATAAACAGTAGAAAGTTTCACAAATCCGCGTTGGGAACAAAAAAATTTCTTAAAACATCTTCATACTCTCTTCACTCTCGTAAAAGAGAGTTGCTAGAATTGATGAGGGTGCGTTGCGAAGAGAGTTCTGCTGAAATGCAGAATTGGAGCAGTTTTTGTGAATTGCTAGAATATATTCACATCTTCGTTCATGTCGAATTCACCAGAAAAATCTTTTGACCAGGCACATTTCTCTACCTTTATCTTGAAGGATAGTACTTTTTCCGCACGCTGCAATGAATGTATTAGTTGACCCGAAAGTTTTGTCCGTTTTTTCAAACCACTATAAAACCACGCGCAATAGAGATCTGAATGAGTTTCAACATGCATTCGATGCAGCTTTTCCTTCTCTTTCTTATGGATACACATTCGAACCACAATCTTTTATGCTTTTCTTGATAACTGCTAAAATTCTCCGCCCGTCAATTTTATCTTCTCAAAGTTAGGCTAATTTTTGAAAATTTCATTTCAGAGTTTGGGAAAGAGTTAAGTATAGTATGCGGAGTAGTATGTGGTATGCGGAGCATTGCAAACATTCAATGGAGTTGATAAACCTGTTTCTAGAGTCACATTTTTGTTTTCGGCACGCTCTCGCTGAAAAACGCCTCGCTTCAAGCCGCCGGGTCTTCGCTTTTATTGAATCTAGAATGTGGTGATCAGTTCTGGGCATTTTCCCTTGCTTAAAGCTTTTTGAGGATTCAACTTTCAGAACCTTAAGCACGCCATTACTGAGTGTTTTCTACAAATACGTGTTCCAATAGGATTTATTAGAACGAGTTTATAGGAAATTCGTCGAGTAGCACGGTACCATCGGTATCCGTGATTGTCAGTTGTACTAGTGATGGCCAAAGCGTTTTAAGATGTGCGATCAACTTTGAGCGGTGTCCAATAAGACGCTTTCTTTGGTAAGTACGATAGCATTGTAGTAGATTTGGATCAACATCTTCTCTGAAAGTGGTAATTGCATATCCTTGACATCTTAACAGCTGCTTACTTACCCTTCCTGTTTGTGATCTATCAATTGATCCGAAATTGTTAGCGATTTCAGATTTTGTGTGTAATAGGATAACGATTCAAGATCGGCGCAACTGACTGTACATAGCTCGAAATTCATACTGATCACTTCAGAAAACATCGCAAATGGGTCCAATGCATTCCTCTGCGCAATGATGTTCAGGATGAGGTTTGGCGTGCTCATGGTAGACTTACTGCCAGGATGCTTTCTAACATCTCATGATGGAAGCGTTTGATTCCGCTAAAATCCACTTCTACCAAGCGATGTTTGGGAAGCATAGACATATATTTTCCAAGCTGAAATTTGACCAATAAGCTTCTGAAGATGCTAGGCGATAGCGCACCTCATCCCGAATATGGAATAAGCTTTCGAATTGTTGCTTTTTTGTGTCCATATGCGGGAATAGCTGACAAAATTCCCCAACTCCGATGCGTAAAGTCTTTTGAAGTTGCCAGTGTCCATCCACGATCTAAAAAGAAAATGCAAGAAATCTTTCCAGTGCCACCATTTAGACCTTCTTAGATTGCCGACAACACTGCTTAAACCTAGCCATCTCAAAGATAGCCAATTTTGACACTATCTTCTCTATAATATGCAATGGAAGATCAAATAAAGGAAAATATTGATCAGATTTTTTGCTTCTTTTGAAAAAGCACATCATTGTGTCATTTTTCTGAAATAGACAATTCAACTGTGACAGTTTGCAAACTGCATCAAACCTCCAGATTCAATTCTCTTTTCCTCGAAATCTTTTCCACTTTGCGGAACTTTCTGGCATCATTTTCTCCTTTCCAATTTGCGGATGGCCTGCCCCTGTAAGTAGCATGTGCCAAAAGCACAGATCGCTGCGATGACTGAGCCCTCACATCAGGGGACCGAACGAGTACGGCGAGTAGGTGAGAATAAAGCCAACTTGACGAAAGCTCAATCTTTATATGCAAATAGCCTTCGTAAACAGTCCTGCTTGATAACATGACGAAAAAGAAAGGTCCATTCTTCGCTTTACTTAATGGCGATGAATGTTTACGCTTTCCGTCGTCAATTCTCAAAGCTAATTGTTCCCGGTAAATTCAGACAAGGTCTGCAGTACAACTTGTGGCAGAAAAAGATTCCTATTCATAATGTTGCAGTAGGTGGCTATGAGCGAAAATGCTTTCGCAGTTCCAACCACTTTCTTTGATCCAAACACATTTTCAGTGAAGTTCAAGTGCTTTCGTATTATATATGGTCAGCTGGTACAGAACATTTATATACGGCTCAAGTGTTTCATTTGAATCTGTGTTCTCGCCCTCTGCTCCATAACCATCACAGAGCACTCCTGGCATATGACTCGAGCCTATGGATGTATGACTATACCCCAGCACATGTGGTCATTGTCATGGCCTTGCTAAGCTTCACCCATATTAAATAGCTGATGACCCGGTTCGCCCGAGACTATTAGTTCAACCAAGATGGGGTAGGGGAACGAAATCCGCCAGTTTGAAACATCTCCGCGGACTACTGGTTCTGCAACCCACAAACAACAATATTTCAAAAGGACTAGTTGCCAGCAAAAGCTGGCTCAAACTGGCGGAGTTCGTTTCCCTACCCACCAAAATGTCATCGGCTCCCAGATTCGTAGAGGAGGGTTGCGCATTTCCTTGATTTTCAGAACAAACTTGTCAAACCTCCACGTTTTAGCACTGTATTTCGTACTTTCTCGTTGAGCTTTCCTAAAAACCAATAAAGTCCGCAGCCCGCCTCCACACGAATCTGGAAGCTGATCATAGTTACACTTTCTAACTATTACAATGCGCAAAAAGCGCTTTGAGACGAACTCGCTGCATCCTGTCGACCTTGAGATCAGAATGAACTTTACTACCCCTACCTACATGTTTATTGGAAAATTATTGGAGCACGTCGAACTCTCATTTTCCCAGATATAAGTAAATAAATCAATAAATCAATAGAAGGACCCTGCAAATCGCCTCAAAAAGTAGCCAAAAACCACCGCCGGGGCCGAAAACATATGTGTGCGAAGTTTCAGCTCAATCGGTTCAACGGCTGGCGTTTCTATAACGAACGAACAACTAAACGAACATCCTCACAGACATTGAGTTTTATATATAGTTAGTCTAAAACTGAAAACATCCCTAAAGTGCCATTTCTGTCAATTACTTTAACGATATAGGTAACAAAAAAAATTCTTTCACCTATGTCGCAACACAGTATTTACATGCTCTCCGAAAACACTTGTCCCTGACAAAGCAAGCAAGTTGCATAGTGGCTGAGATATTTATGGAGATACTTAAGTTGTCTGGTAAAGCGCTATGTATCTTTTTTGTCGTACAATCCTCTATCGACTACTTCCACTACGTAAAAATGCAGACACTTCGTGTGTCTATCAGAGGTGTGATAGTAGGAGCCGATTCTCCCCCTATCTTCACTTTTGAGCTGGTGCATGGTGACCACCTTCACTTTTGGAATAAAAAATTTTTCGCTGGACAATAAAGAAGGAAAATAAGCAAAAAAACGCAAAAAAATTATTGAAAGCATATATTTATGCATACGGCGGCATATATATTCAAAATAAACGTGCTCAGTAAATGGTGTATTTGGAAGTAAAACTTAGCGAAACTGTACGGATTTTATTAAGCAAATTTTGTTGTAACGTGCAGCGAAGAAAGTAGATCGATCCAGGCAGTGACGGCCGAGAACCAGAATTTTGAATAATTACAAAATTTCCACTGTTATAAATCTGTTGTTTGAAGATGTCAGCAGTTGCGACTTCATAGGTTTTGAAGAGTAAATGGTGCTCTATCAGCTAGTAAAAAATTGAGTGGATTTGAGAGATAGTCGTTGAAAACCAGAATTCTAGTTTGCTGTTTGCTGTTTTTGCTGTTTATTTTTGCTGTTTCTTGACAGTTGACAGTTAAACTCATATAAATCTTGAATGTGAAAGTGTGATATTGCGACTTCATAGATTTTATAGAGTAAGGTTTGTCTTATCAGGATATATCTTAGCCGTTCCGATCCATTGAAACACCTCCGAGATCCAGAGTCTTAAAAAAGCAGGTAAAAAAGCGCTTTTTGTAATTCAACAGCTCATAACTTCTTCAGAACTGCATGAATCATGTTGCGACTTTATAGGTTAGATTCTACTCATCAAGAGCTTTCAGATGATATATAATATGTGGGGGTTTAGGGCCTCCTACGAATTATACCCGGGGAAAGCCTTTTCATCACAAAAGAATAGTAGAATCTAACCTATGAAGTCGCAACATGATCATGCAGTTCTGAAGAAGTTATGAGCTGTTGAAGTACAAAAAGCGCTTTTTTACATGCTTTTTCAAGACTCTGGATCTCGGAGGTCTTTCAATGGATAGGAACGGCCAAGATATATCCTGGTAAGACAAACCTTACTCTATAAAACCTATGAAGTCGCAACATCACACACTTTCACATTCAAGATTTATATGAGTTTAACTGTCAACTGTCAAGAAACAAGCAAAAATGGCGTAAATATCTAGAGTTCTGGTTTTCAACGACTATCTCTCAAATCCACTCGATTTTTTCACTAGCTGATAGAGCACCATTTACTCTTCAAAACCTATGAAGTCGCAACTGCTGACATCTTCAAACAACAGATTTATAACAGTGGAAATTTTGTAATTATTCAAAATTCTGGTTCTCGGCCGTCACTGCCTGGATCGATCTACTTTCTTCTCTGTACGTTATAACAAAATTTGCTCAATAAAATCCGTACAGCTTCGCTAAGTTTTACCTTCAAATACACCATTTACTGAACACGTCTATTTTAAATATATATGCCGCCTTATACATAAATATATGCTTTCAATAATCTTTTATGCGTTTGTCTTGCTTACTTTCCGCGCACTCGCGGCAACGACCTAAAAGGATAGACGTTAATGCCTCCCCCCCCCACCCCGGTCGACCTTTTTGGGAGGTGAGTGTCCGGCACTACCCCTTCACTTTTGGCCGGCCAGTGGTAGCTGGGACCACCTTCACTTTTGGTGGGCCCGGCTCCCCCCATCGCACCTCTGGTGTCTATGCTTATGCTACAACGGCGTCTATGATAATGCGAACATGATGCAGTGATGGTGAAGGACAGTGCTAAAGAACTCACAACTTTTTCCCGGAAACAACTCTTTTTGTAATAAAAACAAAGAATTTGATCGGCTCCCAGATTCGTGTGAAGGCGAAGTCTTGCCAACTCAAAGCGTGGCGGTTTTTGATAGCGAGAGAGTACGAAAAGCGATGCTATTACGTGGAGGTGCAACAAGTTTATCCTTATAACCAGGTAACTTCCGCAATCCGCCTTCACACAGCTGGGAGCCGATATGTTACTCCCTAAAGTTGACCGTATCGTTCGTCGGTAATGTATGCAAAATGCAATTTGTAAGCGGCACAAGGCATGTTGCATGTTGTTCAACGGCGGTGGGCCCGCGCATAGGAAAATGTTGAACAGTCTAGTCCGCGTGAAGCGATATCCTCACATATGTCATAGCTTCTGAGATGTTCGTCTGATTAAGAGGGAACTGTTTGACTGGTTTTCAATCACAATCCCTTGCACCTGGCTGGGTTAGAAAACTGCACCTGACAGTGCGAGATTACATCATGTAAAGAGTAATATCTCACCGCTTCACCTCGTACCCAACTCGAGAAAGATCATTTCCTTAATGATCATTGCTTCTGGCACTGCTTCAAGAGCCGAAGAGGTGAACGCAGATCTTCTCTGTAGCTCCAGGCAGTCAAGGTATTCTAGCCAGTCACCCTGAAGTTCAGGCGTAAGGACGCAAAGTAGGGAAGTTTCAACCCAAAACCTCTTTAGAAGAAGGATCGTGATGCCAAAGAAGTTTATGTGCAGGGGAAGTTGACGGAGAATTTGACAGTTTGTCAATAAATTGGCGACAATAATGATGCAGTCAGACTCTGATATCTGCGTCTGAAGTAACTGGGATGCCTTATTAGCATAGTTCCGATCGGATTCTCCACATGCGATTACTTTTTCTTCAGGTGATCCTCATTTGGTGATACATATTATCCTCAGTAACATGCCACCATTGGCGCCTCCAAGCATCGAAAAATCGGTAATAATGAACGGTACTGATCTCCTGGCTGTGATGTTTCAAGAAAGAGGGAGCATAGAGGACTTATGAACGGCAATCAGTCTGCTCGTGGACTTTGATTGAAAGTCATAAGTCGCTGATATTATGTAGGCTTGAGCATGTGCTGTGTAAGCCCATCAAAAACTAGTTTTCTGCGACAAAAATGAAAGCGCAAGTGCGGAAAAAGGAACATTTTAACTATTAGTGAACGTTAGTCAAGCGATGAAATGATCATATGGGAACAGACACGGCGTGATAATAGGAGTAGCAAATAGTTGTGATTGGAAATTCACTAACGGACGTATAGAATCAGCGCCGCAGAGTTTGAACTGAGTGAAGTACACTCCTGAGAACTGTTATATTTCGTCTCTCTCTTTTTCGCTGCGTCTTTGAAAGTGACGTCATGTCGAAAATGTTCGGCGCCATTTAGCTCACTCGGCTTCTGCGGCCGCGGCGGTTTGTGAACACATTATCTCCACTTGCAGACATAAGATCGTCTTGTTTGCATCTTTATTTCTCATTTGTCTATAGAGCCTTGAAAAGCCTTCGCGGTAACGATTAAATCACAGGGCTACACTGGGTCTAAACTTCAGCATGGGATCGACTTGTTTGAGTTGTTAAAGTTAAATGTTTCTCAAATCGGCCTTTGTGAAGGTAAGATACTAATCCATTCAAACACCACGGTATGACTCATGAAAACAGCCATGGGGTAATGTTGGAGGAATGCAGCTTTGGGGAGGGGGAGGAAGGAATAAACAGGATACTTTTTGCACAGTTGTGACTTCGCACCTATCTCTCGCATTTACCTCGCATCTATTTCGCATCTCTCGTTCTACCGCAGAGATCCGTAATCTCCGCTACAACTGAAAGGGAGTGGGGAGACAAGACTTTTCACACTGTCGCCCCCAACTCATTTGACCGTTTGACGAGCCACAATGCTCATATCACAACTAAAAATCCGTGTCGTAGACAGATGAAGTTTTTCATTTGCGAAAATACTGTGCAAAAAATAATGTATTTGATGAGACACAAGAAATTTAAAAAATCTATTTGTGTGAGACACGAAAAAAAATTGAAAAGTTTTGGTGCTGCACATGGTGCAGCACGCGGCTTTGTAGGATCTTCTTGAAATCCACAGTAAGTTTTATCACAATATGATATCAGAAACTGTAGGTCCTTTTGAGATAACATCATGGAGGAGTGAGTGACGCCGCCATCCGTTCAGCAGATACAAAGACAAATCGAACAAGGACCTATCATAATGCGGCAGTGCGAATGACGCGTGCGACGTCGCAACGCAACTTTTACTTGCTTCAACTTCCAGAAGGAATAGTGTTCGTAATACCGATCTCGTCTGCGACATAGGTGGATTTGATTACCATTCGAAGTTTGATATTGTTTCTATCCTCCGAGAAGCAATCCTTGGTGACAAAATCCAAAGACTTCAAATTCAATAGCAATTTTGGGTATGGAGCTTTCTAACATGCTGAAGATATAGCACTCTCGTTTCGAGAAATGAGCTCTGTTATTTTAGTAGCGAGCAAAAGCGCTTGTTTCTTGCCATGTGCGAATTCGCGGTTCGAAACGTGTTGAATCCGATTCTCTTCCAACTTTCCAATTCGAAAGAAAATGTTGAATAATCTTGCTAAATACGAGTCTGGCCAACATTACGCAGAATTCCTGCACTTCTCAGGCAATTCAAGGGAACCTTTCGGTTGTGGGGGAACTTTCCCCAGGTCACTCGTAAAGTGCCCGTAAAGTCCTCGGAAAGTTCTGCACATGAGCCCTCGAAAAGTTCCCCGGAAACGGAGACTCCGAAAACCTCAGTTGCAGAGCTTTCCGAGGAAGGACCTTTGCTCAGCTGTACAAAATCGTAACAATAAACCCCGCTTTTTTCGCGCCGATCCCTTACTTCAGCTTCTCAGGTTAAAAATACGCAAAATACAAATATCCTTCGTCATTTATTGCTATGATAGATCATATCGACGAAAGGCAAAGAGAAAATTTTTCAACATGTTTCCAAGATTGAATGAAAACAGTGCCTGGATGATGCGGATGGAGTATTTTAGATTAAATTCCATCAAAAACAGCTCTGCGAAGTTCATTTAAGTCCTCGGGAAGCTTTGCAATTTGTAGAATTTTCCGAGGACTTGCTCGGAGAGTTCCACTGCTTTGGTTTTGACGTCAAGATTCTGGGGAAGTTCACATTTCCAAGGCTCCATTCACCTACGTGCTAAATGAAACTCTCGGGAAGTTCGGCAAATTAGCTTGCCCCTCAGGTTCCCGCGTAATGTCTGAGTTGATGTCTTTGTCCGGATTTTTGAAAGAACTGGAGTCTTGTGAATAATATCAATGCCTTCTTATTATGTGAGCAGAAGTTATGAACATGCTCGCAAATTTAAGGTCTGGCGATCGCCTTGAGCAGAATTACGAATATTTGAAAATTAAAAGTGTTCAGTAGAAAAACATACGGCTGATTACTATGACTGTGGTGTCTCTTACATTCTTGCTCGGTGCATTTATTCTGTTGTCCAACACTGCAGCACTCCAACCAAAAACGAAGCACGTTTGTTCGAGAGGCGAACTTGGATGATCAAACCCTAACAATCAAGATGTCGATATAACAGATATAGTAAGCAAGAGAAAGAGTAAAAGGATGCCAACTGAAAGACGTACTGATTTTGCGTAGTATTTGGTAAGAACTTGAAAGGTTGCAAACGTGGTCAACGAATTAAAACACTTGTTTCAGCTGATGTATGAAAGCAAAGAAGCGCGTTTGAAACAACTAAATGCTCTAACTACACAAGTACAAAAGCAGTGTTTTTCTCTATGTCGACCAACTCGAACACATCAAAGAACTTACCGACTTGAGGACCTTTGCCGTGCATTACTTAGGGCCTTAAGCGATTTCAGTCGCCATGCTGGCAATTTGTCAGATGTCTTCAGATCCAACACTAACAGATCAAGAATGCGTAGGGTGTACAACTTTCGTAGACTGATAAAATGCCCTATCCTCTGCACACTTAGGAAGCGCGTACAATGAGTTATGAACAAGTGGAGTATTGTCGAATCGCGTCGACTGAAAACGCATGAGATGCGAAGGCATTAGAGAATGAATCGTACACTGCGATCATTTCGTGAGGCATACAAGGCTTCTGACTTCGCATTAAACGATGAAGGGCAGGGCATCACCTCGCGATTCTCCAATAAGATAACTGTCACTGCATGCCGATCATCTTGCATTTCAACTGTGATAGTTTTCCGACGCGAATAATCGCGATCAAGTACCACAACCGAGATGCAAGATGAAAGGCATGTGATGGATTCCCAACAGTGGTCTTGTTAAGAGAATTGTGTTCTTTCTTACCATGTCGTTTGCTATTATTTTCATGTTCTGCGAATTTTTTTCTATTTCCTTTTTCATTCTCTTTCAAAACTCGGATTGCCGGACAAAATGCTGAGCGGTGGGAAGTTACCTCTCGCCCTCTTTGTCTGCAATAAAAGGAACTTGAATTTGCCGGACAGGACGTTGCCAAATGGTCCGCCCTGCCCAAGCATCTCATATTTGTTAGTTTCCGTTACCCGTTGCCGTCTTTGCGATATGTGCTGTTGCCTATATTCGGTTGCCCAATGTTCTCCGGTACAAAAGAGTTGTTTGGAGGCCTTGCAAGGTTCCTGCGTCAAGCGGCGGGCTGATTACCTTGTTGGTTACCAGCTGGGCCAGGTTGCGGCGACGGCTCTCTTTCCTCTTGTCTGGGCCTTTGTTCTGGTGCTTCCATTGGTACCACGTTCGCACCGAATTGATATAGTGGTTCCATTTCGCGTTGTCTTCTTTCCATTCGCTGTTGACGATTGCCGATTTCGTTTATCGTGTCCTCTAGCCTTTTCTTTTCTCACTCCCAAATTTTCGTTTTCCTTTCTTTTGCAATTCACTAGATAGTCCAAGCGTCTGTTTATCCTTGCAAAATTCGTGTCCAGGCTTCTTTCAATTTCCTGTATTTTTCTTTCAGTTGACGGCAGCGTTCCTTGCTATGGAACTGGGGCCGGTGGGTTGGATTCAGCGAAGATTTCGTGCAGTTTACTTCCAGCTGTTGTTGCTGTTGGGGTCTTTCTTCTTGTCCCATTTCCTCATGCCTTTGTTGCTGTTGTTCCATTTCCTCATCTTCATGCTCAATATCTTATTGTGGGCCTTCAACCTATTTTTCGCGCAAATGGAACTTATTTAATTTCCGTTTTTGTTGCAAAGTTATCAAGTAATGCGAGTGGATAAGACAAATTAAAAGTTTGAGTATTATAAAGCGAAGCTTAAAAATAAGTTTAAACAAAAAGGCTATAACAGCCGCTCGCAGCGGCGGAAAAAATGCTTGTAACTAAGATTCTTGGATTGATGTTTCCATTTCCTTTGTATGTTTTGCACTTGCTGAGCATTTGCTCAGATAGATCGCGCTGATAACTACAGAAAGTACCAGCGCAGCAAGTGCGGTTGCTGTTTAGAGCGCATAAGACTGGTTACCATTCATGCATTATGTCAAGAAATGGGGCAACACTTCGAACGACGTAATACCTTTAATTTTATTACCAGATTCTCCACACATTCTCGATATTCAAAAGTCTTCTGCGCTCTATACAGTAACCGCACTTGCTGCGCTGGTATTTTCTGAGTTATCAGCGCGATCGATCTGAACAAATGCTCAGCAAGTGCAAAAACATACAAAGAAAATGGAAGCATCAACCCAAGAATCTCAGTTACAAGCATTTTTCCGCCGCTGCGAGCGGCTGTTATAGCTTTCTTTTTCCTTAAACATATTTTTGAGCTTCACTTTATGCTATTCAAACTTTTGATTTGTCTTATCACTCCCAAACATTGTAATGTCACTGTAATCTGTCGCGTTACTTGATAACTCTGCAACAGAAAACGGGAATTAAATAAGTTCCGTTTACACAAAAAATACGGCTGAAGGCCCACAACAAGACGTTGAGCATGAAGATGAGGAAACAGAACAACAACAGCAAAGACAAGAGGAAATGGGACAAGAAGAAAGACCTTGGCAACAGCAACAACCGCTGGAAGTAAACGTGCACGAAATCTTCGCTGAATCCAACCCACCGGCCCCAGTTCCATAGCAAGGAACGCTGCCGTCAACTGAAAGAAAAATACAGGAAATCGAAAGAAGCCTGGACACGAATTCTGCAAGGATAAACAGACGCTTGGAATATTTAGTGAGTCGCAAAAGAAAGCAAAACGAAAATTTGGGAGTGAGAAAAGAAAAGGACAAATGAAATCGGCAATCGTCAACAGCGAATGGAAAGAAGACAACGCGAAATGGAACCACAATATCAACTCGGTGCGAACGCGGTACCAATGGAAGTACAGAACAAAGGCCCAGACAAGAAGAAAGAGAGCTGTCGCCGCAACCTGGCCCAGCTGTTAACCAACAAGGTAATCAGCCCGCCGCTCGACGTAGGAACCTTGCAAGGCTTCCAAACAGCTGCCTCTTTTGTAGCAGGGAACATTGGGCAACCGAATGTAGGCAATGCAGCAGATTATCGCAAAGACGGCAACGGGTAACGGAAACTAACAAATGTGAGATGCTTGGGCAGGGCGGACCATTTGGCAACGTCCAGCCCGGTAAATTCAAGTTCCTTTTCTTGCAGGCAAAGAGGGCGAGAGGTAACTTCCCACCGCTCAGCATTTTGCTCCAAGATTTGAGTCTTGAAAGGGAATGAAAAAGGAAATGAAAAAAAAATCCTCAAAACAATGCAAATAATAGCAAACAACATAGTAAGAAAGAACGAGCAAACATTTAATAATTCCATAAAGGCAGTTCTATGAGGCAATGATACTACACGTTTCGTAACGCTTGACTTGAAGTAAAATTGTGCCATGTTGTAATATGGAGGAATATGGATGTTGTAATATGTAGATATAATGTATTGTGTATTTGTAGTAAAATTTTGCCTTGTACTATTTTCTTCTGAGTAATAATATGCTGTGCGATTTACTGTGAGGTAATATCATGTGTTCCTAGTACCTGGAAATGCAATCACAGCAACTTACTACAATACTGTATGCTATGTTGTGTGTTGTTTACCCATTGTATAGTTAGTTTTATAATACGTTTTTTGAAAGTATTATCCATGTAATACCCATACCCATTATCATGGAAATTGGTGATAAATAAACATCCTCTAAGCAAATGATGTCAAAATACATGTTTTTCCCTTGAGTCATGAGGAGTAAACAAAGCGATTAATAGTAAAAACAAAACAAAAAAATGGTTGGAAAAGTTTTTTCTCCTGTTGTTCTCGTCGGGAGTGTCACGAATCGTTGAGATTTATGATTTTTGCATCATACATCACGTCTCGTTATCGCGGCACTCTCACAACATCGTCGTCATCGCCTCGTTGGTACACGTTCTAAAGCAGCTGGAGGGCCAGAGGATGAAGCCCCCATATCGACCGAATATCCCCCTTCCCCTGAACAAGAGAAAATCTCCAGGACAAGTAATTATAGGTAACGGTAAGGCCTAAGGCATACCTCGCGCGATTCCGGTCGCTGCGCGATTTGGCACAACAGCGACTCTTCGTGATTCGTCGTTAAAAGCAGTACATCGGCAGAATGAGACCCGTGACAAAACAAGGTCACAGGGTAGGAGCCTCCATATGGAACCTGTCGGCCAAAGTCCGATCTTTCTCTACCACTTCTCACCCCCGAAATTTTAACGCGGAAGCAGCGCTCATCTCCTGTATTCTCTGGCCCCGCCCATCCCATGGGATCCAAGACAGGAGATGAGCGCTGCTTCCGCGTTGAAATTTCGGGGGTTAGAAGTGGCAGAGAAAGATCGGGCTTTGGCCGATAGGTTCCATATGGGGGCTCCTACCCTGTGACCTTGTTTTGTCACGGGTCTCATTCTGCCGATGTACTTCCTTTAATGCGCTGTCTTTGGTCAGAACTTGCTCCGTTCGCAACAATACACAAGCTACCCAATTATGCGTCCGAGAGCGCGCACGATAAATCTGTAGAAGTCTGGCAAATCGGCAAGTCGCGTGAGGTACCTTAGGTCTAACAAAGGGAAACAGTGTCGTAATGTGGATAACACTACATCTTGTTGCGAACTGATTGTGAATCATCATTGATTGAAACTTGCTAACAAGGGAGTGGTCAGAAATCGAAGTGACCAATACAAACAAGCTGCATACCATTCGATGCAGCATCAAACGCTAATTTCAAATCTGTCTTTCACATCTGCAGAACGTTTTTGTAGGCGAAATTATAAGCAGCTTTACTGTGAATAAATCGCACACAAAAATTGCGAAATTAGGCACATTATTGCTCTTTTAGCTCACTTCTAGGTACGGGCCATATGTAATGAACTAGTTGCATATTTCGATCCAGCACTGAGCCAAGTATGATTCTGCATGGCCATGTTTGCCCTTTACATGCACGAGTTCTTAGCAAAATAATGGCTTTTGACGGCTTATAATTTCATCCACAAAAGTGTTCCGCACATAAGGAAGACAGATTTAGAGTCAGCGTTTTATTTTGCATTTAAGGGTATGCAGCTTACTTGAATTGGCTACTTCGATTTCTGAACATTCCCTTGTAAGATGTAAGGAGAATCACCAAAAGTCTATCATACCATAGTGCGAAAAAATTGCTGCTATTCATTATGCTACACAGTGGCGTACCCAGGATTTTGGCTCGGGGTGGGGGGGGGGGGGGGCGCGACAAAAAATTTTTTCTAATAAAGGTGCGTGGCGTCAGCCACGCCCCCGAAAAAAAAATTTTTATAAGGTAAAATGAATTTTTAAAAAATTTAAAAAATTGTTTTAATTATTTACAAGTGCAGACAAGTCATTTGCACAATTTTATAACCCATATAAGTAACTTTCAAACCCCCCCGCCCGCCCCCCCCCCTCGGTACGCCACTGATGCTACAATATCAGGGCAGTGAGGCCTTCAAAAGTTGGACAAACAAGGAAGAACAAGAATCCAGAGCGCCGAGCTATGAAGGGGGGGGGGACCTCACCCGAATGAGCGATTGATGCATACCGCACCAGAAGTTCTTATCTAAGCCCGCAAGTGAAAAGGCACGTAGTATCTCAATCGGTGTGTCCATTACGCGAGCGAGTACGCGTCCGCCAGCACGAGTGCTCATATTTTTAGCAATATAAGGCTTATGATAAATAATTGAAAATGAGCCTATTGAACCCACAAGTGATATTGATGATTATGAGAACGACTGTTTAATGCAAACGAAGCTTTATTACGATACTTGTAATATAACATGCATATTCCAAAGCACTTGGCACTACAATCAAGCATTACATTACGAGTTTTTGAGATTCTAAAAACGTCGTTTTATTCGGAACGTTGCGAGCTCGTTGATCAAATTATTACAAAACATAAGTGTCTAGTGCCATGGAATGACTCATAATCTCTACACAACAAAAATACTTTGATCTAATGCTTATCAGAACATAACTACCCATTACAAATGTTACCGGATGCGCAAAACTCGAGTATATGACGAACAACACAGTACACATTTTACTTGACAGAGAAAGGCTTGAACCGGTTCATCTTCAGTCGAGGTCAGGTTCGGGTGCTTTGGGAGGTGCGGAGGGAGCAGCTCCGCTGCTCTGACCACCTCCACCACAACCTGAATCCCCGCATTTGGCACCCATAGGGCATCCACCAGGTGCGGCACCACCACCGAACATTCCAGCCATGCCAGGTGCCTTGATATCTGCAAGCGAAAAGACGGCAGTTAGATGTTTTTCATGAATTGCCGCAAGCGGCTCCTTGTCCCATAAAATTTCATGTGATATGTAGGGCAAGCTTTTGCAGAGAGTTGTAAAGTAATGTGGAGCACCAGATGTCAGGTTTAAAACGTAGCTATATCGTTATGATGAAATTAACCCTAACAAAAATCTGCTAATCTCCCAATAATGAATTTCCCTTCTCGACTGTAAACTTCTGTAAGCTACGTCTGTCCACTGCTTCGCAAAAACAAACAGCACGTCCTCGACTACAACACCACTCTGAGTTTTACTTTTGAAACAAATGCACTCATTTTGCGGAGCAAGCACTTCTTGAGTCAAAAGTGTAAAATGAGTGCACTTGTTGCAAAAGATCGTAACATTAGTTAGGCGTAGTCGTACAGCTGCATTTTTGTGCAGACAGTGAAAGGTTTTTGATACTATCACAACGCTCGATCAATGCGCATAATTTTTTCTGATTGTAAGACCAATGACCAAACGCTCCTGAAACATATGTAGGCCACTATGGATAGAGTGTATGTCAATGAAATAATCTTGCAACGCCCCCAAAATGTCTGCAAGTCGTTCGAGAAATCTTCATGCAAAGAGAAAACTTAGAAATTTACATTTCCTTTTTGAACCCATGATTACACGAATTTCAGAAATTGCACCCACAGCTGTAGTTTCATAAGTACGAAACTGTTCTCTTTCATGCAATCCCCTTCGTTACTTTCATGATTTTATACTGTTTTCTCAAATATTACAGACGGTGTCCTGGTAGAATTTCGTCTAGCAACTTTATACCTTGTCAGAGCCTTGTCAAGAGGAATCCATATCTGGGCATTTCAACGAATGGAAATGGCGAAAATAAGCTTTTTCCGAAACTTTCCAGGTCCGCAGTGGAGAATACGTGTAAGTGAGCGGTTCCTACGAGGGAGGCGAGGCGCGTAAGACTTTCGGTGTATCTTCACTAAATGCGGACCTGGATAGCTTCGGAAAAAGGCTCATTGTCGCCATTTTTCATGCACTGATGGGCCCAGATATGAATCCCTCATGGCAAAAAGGCTCCGAAAAGGTGAAAAACTGGAGAACGAAATTTTGCCGAGACACTGCCTGTAAATCGACGTTGAGGGCATTGCTCTAACGTGAAAAGTAGTGCAATTACACAAAGCGATGTTAACTTGAGACTAGACTGTATAATATGAAATTGGCCACATGCATTTGCAAAAGAATAAATGCGGATTCTGCTACTCAACGACAACTCGCACTCATTACTGTAATAAATCACACATCCATGTGACTAGACAATGCACTTTACACGTGATGCCACTAATTGAAAGTGACAAAGAGTCTCAACAAAAAACCCTTTAGAAAATAAGATAATCGAAAGTAGACGTTCACGCTGCCCCTAATGTTTTTTTGTGCAGGCATCCAGATAGAACTCCTTCCTGTTAGGTTATCTCCCTAATTAGAAACCTGGAAAACTTGTGTGAAGTTCTCATTGACGGTTGACCTCGCAAACAAAATACGTTTGGAACTGCCTAGACATCTACAGAAATTCTCGAGTTGGCTCTAGACTTCCCACAGAACAAGTATATATACCCGTAAGAAAATGAAGATCAAACGATAGTCACTCGTTGTGTACGCTTCGAGTGCACAGTTGCAAAGAAAAAAAGAGCGGATGTTCAGGTGACTAGGTCAGCGTAATGAGGAAATCGTTCACAGCTGGTGGACTAAGCGCAAAAAAGATGGACGATGAAATGCGGATTCAAAGGTTTTGGCAACAATAAAATTGCCGAGGTAAAAGCGAAGTTGGGTATATTACTACCTCTTACCACAAAATTAACCAGAAGGCTTACCTTTCATTTTGGCAATGAGTTTCATAACCTTCGGGTTACCCATATGCTTCATCAAATTGGCAGGGTTGTTCATAATGTCCAAGAATGCTGACATCACCTGGAAATCATCAGCAATATTACACCGTATCCCCCGATAATCTTCAAAAACAACAAACCTCAGGATCCTTAATGGCTTCGGCAATTTCGGGGTCATTAAGCACAGCACCGAGACCACCTGTGGGATCACCACCCATACCAGCGTCATCTTCAGCGGCAAACTATAATTAACGTTTTTCAAGTAGAAAAAAAAAGCGAGAAAAGAGGTGGTAAACCTTTGCAGCTTCCTCTTGGGCCTTTCGATTTGCTTCTTGTGCACGACGGACGCGCTCGCGACGTTCCCTTAGTTCCTTTTCCTCAGCTTGTCGAGCCACTGCACGATTGTATTCTTGGATTTTCTTCGCCTGCAAGAAGTGCAAAAGTATTAATTCCCGACAAGCTAGTAAACAAGCAGCGTTCAGAAATCACAAGATTTGTCTGATGCTAAACTTTCGGATATTCACGGGTCTTAAGTGTAACGGAAATAGCAGACAGTCATTCTTTACACTCGTACACATGAACTCTCCGCAACGAGAAATAAAAACCCTTGCTCACAGTGATAACAACTCGAGAGGACAAGAAAAAAGAACAACCCCTTTCGCGAATTCGAGCAGAAAGCTATGCGCGCTGGGCACTGTCACAATAACGCTGTGCTTTATGTTTTATTTACAAAACACTTGACGGCATCACCCAGCCAAAGCGCGTGCTCTTGATAAACATGACTCCTTCCATAAAAAACATTTTTGAAATTTCTGATAATCCGTGACTCACTCAAAAAGTATGGAAGGAAAGGTTAGACTGCAATGTATTATCTTTGAGTGATTGCTTTTACACCGTCAGGGGCAAGATAAAATCAAATACCGAGCAGCCTGACCTAAGAAAAAGCGCAGTTTTCCGAAGACAGATGGGCCGATAAGCAAGAAGAGAGAGGGCTTGATAAGTCAGATCATTAGTTATACTGTGCAAGAGGTGGGAAAAGCAGTAGGGGGAGGAATGATGAGATAGCGGGGGTGCAGCCCATATCGTTTGCAGCACTAGAAGCTTTGCAAAAAGGATTTCAACGAAACGCTTCCATCGTTGAAAATGACGACAAAAAAGGAGAAAGAAGATTGTCCTCACCTACTCATTGGATGTACTTCGTTTGTGGCGAGGAAATGATGCATTTAAGAAACTTTAGAGGGCCAAAAAACTAAATCCGTTCACTCCATTATTGTATACCCGGGGCAATGATCAAGCGCTGTCTCTCCGCTATAAACAGCGGGGGTATTTATCAATTCCGGATCGGAAAGTAATCGCGCGCTATGTTACAATTATGAAAGAGCACCTTACGGTTTTTACCGAGGCGTGATGTACATTACCTGGTCGGGCAGCAGCACCCGATCTCAAAAGTCGTCTGATCAGGCAATTTTTCGAGATGGGTGCCGCTGCCCGACCAGGTAATGTGCATTACGTCTCGGTTTCATCGTAACGCGCTATCGCTCTCTTTCATAACTCTAACATAGTCCGCGATAATCTCCCGATCCGGAACTGATGAACACCGCACTATACTCCTTTCTCAGCTTGACTGACCTCGATCTGCAGCACAAAGACTAAAACAAAACAACTTCGTACCGCTACTAACGAATGATAAGAAAGTACGTCTCGGCGCAGTGCCAAATAGCTTCCAAAGCTGAACCCTCATCATACAGTTCCCTTTCCTATCATAAGACGCAAACATGTAATATAGTCCTGATAACGATCTTAACCGCCGCCACTGATACTTTGTAGCCGAATCTTTCAGATCAGTGACTACATACATACACTAAGCATATGACGTTAACATACTCAAGTGTCTTCAAGTGGAGCATCAAGGATCAAATTTCCCTATCCCCTTCAAGCACATTCATGAAAGAATAGCCGTCATGTTTGCTACTTCCACATACAATAAGATCACCATAGCCAATCCCATTATACAGACATTTTCACTCAACAATTGCAAAACATTCGTGTTGAAATGCTGTCATGCGTCACATGGGAAGGAATTCGACGTATAACGAAGTATAACGTTCTTTTCTCCCAAAATATTGGCGATCATTCGATCTCTTAAACTGAGCACTGTGATCAGAGGAGCCGCTGAGGGAAGGTGCCACTGATGGTTTTTGACCGACGAAGCAAAACGCCGAAACATCGGTCAACAGTAAGGATCACACATCTCAATCGAGAAGCAAAAAAAAGATAAAAACCTCAAAAATACAGTGAAGAGATTGAAAGCAGACAAATTTACTTTGCAGTAGTGAGCTCCTGAGGCCAGATTAAGCGTTCAAAACCTGCATGAAACGCTTATGAAAAATTAAAGGCACCGTCCACCCAGACTTTCAACTTCTATGTTTTTGTCGTTCCAAAGCCCTCTCATGTCCCTCATTCCGAATTCGAAGTCGAGGATCCGGGAAAACCCCAAGCCAGTTCTCCGAAATGGTGATTGGATATGCGCGCACGGATGGGCGGGCGTGGATGGGAGGGGCGGTGCCGTCTGGGGGTCCTCGTGCATCTTCGTTATTCCGAAACGATTTTCTCGCTTCCGAAGCAATATTTTCCGCCGCGACCTGGGCATTGACTTTATAGGGGTTATGCTATCGTAAGCTACCAAAACCTCAAGCCCCCTAACCTAAGGGTGACTGCCTTTAAGTAAAGATAGGGAAGTGCGCCGAAGAACGCATACTTTCGTTTGCATTACAACAATCACTGAATCAATTTTCCAATCGCAACTTCAGCCAGAGGCTGAGCTTACAAAAGCAATGAGGTGTAAACTTTCAAGGCGTTGGTGAAGAAAATCGGGGAAGGAGCGATACGAGATTGGAAAACGAGAGAAAAGCGATCAAAAAGAAAAGAAATGGAAATGAAAGCAATCACTGGATTATTTTCAAATGGAAAGGATTGCACAATGATTGCTCGATCAAAGGACATACTAGAACGATAAATAACATCTGTAGAAATCATGAAATTCCCAACATCTGAATGGGGGCTGTTTTGCGGTGAAAGGCACTTTAGTCCAAATGTGTGTCCTCTATTACGCAAAAAAAACGGACCAAACATCGGAAAATTAGTAGTTACCGTCCCAGGACGTCCATCTTAATGATACATGAAGTGGTAAGCCGCCTTCATATTTTTACATCTCGTAATTTTGGCGCAAAAGAACGCCACAGAACCAACACAAACAGAATCCAGTAGCCACGGGACTTGCTCAGAATACACAAGTGATCTACAGATAAGAAAAGTACATCGTATTTGCTACACGAGGAATACAGCAGCGGATAACGTTTGGGGCGTGGCATGGATGCGGATGAAAGACAGCTGTGACTTTCCTCAGTGCGAGGCATGTCGCCGTATTGAATCGCGGCAGAATTTGCTTAGCGAACAACTATTTCGACACACATTATTATGTTTCGACTATTTATTCTACTAATACTAACACTCACTGTATTCATCAGTGAAAACTCAGGTAAGAAATTTTCTCGATTTTTCGCGGGAATGAAAAATGTTGAGGCAGACTTCGAATCTCAAAAATTTAGCAAGCGTAACATTGCTGCTCACTGGACGATCCAGCGACAATGTCTACAAACATCAACTGGCCAGACAACTTATTGATTCATTTGATGAGCTTATCGAAGGTAAATAATCGATAAACACTGATCCAAGACAAGCCCTAAACCTTTCGTTTATGCGACAACTGCGCAGATTCTCGGATTTCTTAGCGTATATGCCGACACAACATAGACGTTTCCTCATTTGACACATGTTTAGCTGGCATTCCATCAATCATCACACTCTGTAGAGAATTTTCGAGCAATTGTTCCTTGACAAATAACATCAATCAATACACATATATTTTACATCTCCCCCGCTTTTGCCTCATTCAATTTCCATCACATCTGGAGCTAAGAAAACCCAGCTTATTCCCACTATGCGTAGGCGAGAGCAATGATTTCGATTCATTGACGTTTGATACGTCTGTCGCTACCAAGCTCTTTGCCGGGTTTGATTGATGTATGTGTTTTTTGCACACAAATCCACGTGAACCATTCTAGCAAAACAATTCCGGCTTTTCTCTACGATCAGAAAACACCTGAGCAATCAATCAATAACTATATATCTCAGGTTCACAAGCAAAATTGCTTGCCTTCACTAATGGCGTCTCAATGCCAGTTGCGATAGAAAATGATGATTTGGTGGAAACTTGGACAGATCTGGATTTGCCAGGGAATTTGACCACATTGGTCCTTACGAATCTCGGCACTGATGAGATGGGCCTCGACCATCTCAGCATCGTGCAGAAATTTATGAAATCGAAGACGGGATTGATAGTAATTGAGATAGGTGAGTTCTTGCTTACGCAATCAATTTTTTTTCAGAATACTCTAGTACGATTGGTCCGAACTGTAATTATCAATTAGAGCAATATACAGAAGGCGCAGCATCTAGTTATGCCCCATATAACCAAAAGTTACAATCAATAGAACTTACAAAAAAAGCTATTTCAATTCTAAACCATGTGAGACCCAACAATCTGACAAAAACTACAATAAAATCAAATATCAGATGAATTTTTCGCTCATGAAATCTGCTCTCCTCATCCACCCCCCCCCCCCTCAAAAAACCCCTCCTTTCCTATGCACTTCTATGCACTTCCCGTTTACTTATGACTTCACAATTCTCTAGCCAACAATTAAAGTGCTCAGTCATAAATCCGTCAAAGTTATTAACAAAGAAACAGACGCACATTTGCACATCGATTGTTTGCACAGCCTAGAAAGTTGACGTTTTTGAACAGCTGCTCAGACATCGAGAAGACATCTCTAGCTAACGAAACGCATTCATGACATTTTGCGCGGGAAGACGAGAGAAACACAAAAAACACAAAACATCAGAATTCCTCTAAAAAGAGCTAGAAACTTGGCAATAGGCAGTGACTAAAAGCTCCAAAATCTCAGTCCTGATTTCAAAAAATACTAACAAAAAAACTTAGTTTTTTAGGCACTAAATGCTAAAATTCTAGCCTGCAAAATTCTTGAATTTCCAAATTAACGCTTTTTTTGAATATAGTAAACTAATTAATCTAGTGAACCGCGATTTCGGTCATGAGTGGCTAACCTTGACTTCTTACCTCCTATTTTTATTTACAATTTTGAAAGTCAGATTCAAAGAGTCAAAGAATCAAATATTTTTATGAGTTGTATTTCAGGCAATCCAGCTATCCAGACCCGTGCACTTCTCGAAAGAAGCGCGTCCTGCAACTTCGAGGGTCATGCTCTCATCCTCTCGCCCAATACCGTATACTTCTGCAACAATGCGGTTCCCGCAACGCTAAGCGACCTTCGTTTCGACAGCCTGCAACCCATGACTTGGGCAGGATCCAAGAACCCATATCCGAAGCCGCAGACCACAATCATAATGCCAAATATATTCGCTTCAGCAGCGAAAGTCCAGCGTCAACACCCCAACCATCAACATCAAAAACACAATGTGAGTTCTGACTTCACTTCTTACTATGGTGTCACTATCTCAACATCCTCCCCTCCACGTCCAAATCGTTCCTATCGTTCCTACTCTGAATATCCTCGTTTTCAGCTTGATGAAAACGTCGACGAGATCGTCGATAAAATCATGGAAGAAATCGATGTGGAGAAGCAGGACACGAGCGAAGAACCTGCATTCGAGAAGATGAGTGATGCAAAGAAGAAAACGTTTTGCAAATATAGGAAGTCCTGCTACGAGACGGGAACACCGCCAGTGATTGACAATGATTGGTTCTTCTACCCATCACATTGGCTGCACAAGAAAAAAGTGGTGGAAGAAGGAGAAGAACATGAAGAGGGAGCCCCAGTCGAAGGAGAAGTTGATGATCTGCTGGAAAGAAAATTCCGCTGCAAATATCGCCTATCTTGCTACCATGAAAAAGGCATTCCTCTAAGCGAAAGAGAAGCCGAGAAGGAGAGAAAGTCGATCCTGGCCAGCAAAGAGAAAGTTCAACCCGGAAAGAAGAAGACACTAAAGGAAATTGCCGCCCAAACTCTCCAGGAAGTGCAAGAAGCCTCCGAAAAAGCTGCTAAACGCCCAGCTGAGAAAGCTGTTCAAACAAAACTGACGGCAAATCAAGAAAAACTAGATGAAAAGCTCCATTGCAAGTACAGAAAGAGCTGCTATGAAACTGGAAAGCGGCCGGTGATAGATGAAGGTTGGAAGCTACCACTCCCAATCAACATTTTCTCCACAGAATCGGCAGAGACAGTCGGCAAGCAAATCAACTATAGCGAGCTGGAAAATTTAGAGAAAAAAGTCTACTGCAAATATAGGAAGAGTTGCTACGAGACAGGAGTTAAGCCCAAAATTGAGCCAGAATTCTTCATCTACACACTTTTGGATCTCTTCACCATACATGAGCAAGTGGAAACGCGAAAGCTCACTCTGCAGGAGAAATGCAAATATCGAAAGTCATGTTACGAGACCGGTATTGTTCCAGAGATCAATCCTAAGCTAGAAGCAGTGATCGAGAAGGAAGTCAGCCCAGTCATTCCAACAAATGTGCAAGATTTGAAACTGCTTTGCAAATATCGAAAGTCATGCTATGCACAAATACACGAAGCGGCTACCGTGGACACAATCAAGCACATCAGAAAAAGAAGACAAATTGAGAAGGAAGTGACAAGGAGAAAAGCGAGAAGAGAAAAGCTGCATCGACGACTTCGTGGAGAGATGCAACTTGGACACTGGAGAAAATACTTCAGAAAAGATAGATCGGAAGCAGAGGAAATCGAGGAGGCTGAACCCGAAGAAGTTAGCAGTATCAGAACTCCACAGCCGATCGAAACTGGGCGAAAGCCTATGCAAGAGGAGAAGCAAGTTGAAGAGGAAGAACAAGAGCAAGAGGAAGCTGAAGTGAAAAAACCAAAAACTAAAAAGCAAAGGCAGCCAAAGAAAACTGCAGCCCCTGTGAAAGCGATTGTAGATGAGGCAGTGTCGACTGTAGAAGAAAAACTAGAGGAGGCACCAGTCACTAAAAAATTCCGTAAAGCCAGAAAAATGGTGAAACCAACGGAATCAACTGAAACGGAAGAGGTGAAACCTAGCAAGGTAAAGAAAGGAAAAGAAACGCCAAAGGAAGTGTCCAAGCGAAAGAAGAAAGTCAGATTCCAGATGGAGGAAGGAGAGCCAGCAGAAGAAGAAGTAAAAGAGGAACCAGAAAAGGAGGAAGAGGAAGTTAAGCGACGTGCGATGGTAGAAGAAGAGGAGCAGAGTAAGGAAGAGGCAGAGGAACAGAGAGAGGAAGAGGAAGCACAGCAGCAGAAGGAGGAAGCGGCAGAGGAGACGGAAGAAGAGGAAGAAGAAGAGGAGATGGTGAAAAAAGAAGCACCGGAACAGGCCGCTGAAAAAGAACGCGTAGTAGTAGACAGAAAGAAGCCGCCAAACGCATCAAAAGCTACCGAAAAAGAAAAAACCACTGCGGATGCATTGGAGGATATGATTGAGCAGATACATCATCAACATGAGATACAGCATAAGAAAGAATATTGTAAATATCGCAAATCATGCTATTCTAGCGGAAAGAAACCCAAAATCGATTCGTCTGTAGTTGGTATCATTTCTTCTTTTGGGGAGCAGTTAGAGAAAGCATACGCGGAGGAGGAGGACGCTATCTCGCGCGTGAGGAACGAGATAGACAAGAAGCTCGCGTGCAAATACCGGAAATCTTGCTACGAGACTGGCATCCTACCCGAGATAAAGAAACCAATCGTAGTAGACGAAGATTCAATGGCATTCAAGGTAGGCTTGTCTAAACACCTACAATGTAAATACAGGAAGAGTTGCTATGAGAAGAATGGTCTGAAGCCTATTCATCACGAAGCCGGAGAGGCAGAGGAGAAACGCAAGCCGACTGAACACGCAAGAGTCGAAGAAGTCAAAGAAACAATAAGCGAGAAAGAAAGTGAAGGAAAGAGGTCACCAAAAGTGGACCGTCAACCAGTCGAACAACAAAAACAAGCGGAATCCGGAAAGAAGGAAGAGGAATGCAAACCAGGAACTGCATGCTATATTTCAGCTGCACCAAAAGCAATGAAAGAGGACCACGCAGGAAGCATGGCTCGGATAGGCGCAGAACGCTACAAACAGAGTGGAAAATGTAGTCCTTATTATTATTCTTGCCGTGAGGTGCTCGGCCTTCCAAGAAAGGAAAGAGCACCAATTGGACCAAATGGTAGACGCTTATGTCGCAAGAAACAACTGTGATCCGCTTTTTTTTTTATTGCCTAGTCGTTTAGTGAATCACTTTTCCACCGGCTTGGCAGGAAATGTGTTTCTGCTTCGCATAATTAATAGTATTGCTCATGCAGAAATAAACGTTTCGCTTTTTGATCAGTTGTATTATAACAATCTTATATATAAAGCTGAATGTCTGTTTGTATGTATGTCTGTCTGTCTGTCTGTCTGTATGTCTGTACGTATGTTCCGAATAGAAAATTCCATTTCTGAACCGATCCGGACCAAACTTGGCACACATACACTTCGGGCCCCGGCGGGTGTCATAGGCTACTTTTCGTCATCGATCGATATCGATTTTATCGATTTTTATCGATTTTTTTGCTGAGTTCACCTACGGGGCTGGGAGTTGGCACAGGGGGTAATCGAGCATGGGGATTCCGAATACAATATTGGTTTTCAGGATTATCGATTACTTTTATCGATTTTATCGATTTTTTTGCAAAGTTTGAGCTACGGGGCTGGGAGTTGGCACAGGGGGGTAATCGAGCATGGGGATTCCGAATACAATATTGGTTTCCAGGATTATCGATTACTTTTATCGATTTTATCGATTTTTTTGCTGAGTTCACCTACGGGGCTGGGAGTTGGCACAGGGGGGTAATCGAGCATGGGGATTCCGAATACAATATTGGTTTCCAGGATTATCGATTACTTTTATCGATTTTATCGATTTTTTTGCAAAGTTTGAGCTAGGGGGCTGGGAGTTGGCAGAGGGGGGTAATCGAGCATGCTGATCATTCCCAAGGGGGGGTGATCAGCATGCTCGATTACACCCCTGTGCCAAATTCCAGCCCCCTAGCTCAAATTTTCAAAAAAATCGATAAAATCGATAAAAGTAATGGACGATCTTGAAAACTATTATTGTATTCGTAATCTGCATGCTCGATTATCCCCTGTGCAAACTCCCAGCCTCGCAGGTCAAACTTTACAAAAAAATCGATAAAATCGATAAAAGTAATGGACGATCCTAAAAACTAAAATTGTGTTCGTAATCAGCATGCTCGATTGCCCCCCTGTGCAAAATCCCAGCCTCGCATGTCAAAATTTACAAAAAAATCGATAAAATCAATAAAAGTAATCGACAATTCTGAAAACTAATATTGTATTCGGAATCCCCATGCTCACTTCCCCCTGTGCCAACTCCTAGCCCTGTAGGTGAACTCTGCAAAAATATCGATAAAAATCGGTAAAATCGACATCGATCGATAACGAAAAGTGGACTGTGACACCCGCCGGGGCCCGAAGTGTATGTGTGCCAAGTTTGGTCCGGATACGGCGGAGCCGGGTAAGCCAGCTAGTGAAAAAATAAACTTACATTGGGCTCGACTTCTTTGAGCCATTCGTTAGCCATATCATCGTAATCGAGTTTGCAAGCAGTGGCGAGATCTGAGTGAGCTTCAACCCACTTTCCAAGGAGACTGAATAAATGATTAAATTAAAGTGTTCACAGCTTCTAAAATTGCAAAGATCGTACTCCGTAAGTGATACAATTACAATACAAGTTACCCTACTTCCACTTTACTCGTACATATTGCGTGGAAAGGGCAAAAGGGCTAGTCAATCATCACTACCGAGACTTTAGGCTCATGCACTTCATACACATCTACTACAGCTACATCAGAGTCGGGGAAAACTGTTCTACTATGCACGCAATTATTTACAAAGAAAAGCTAGTTCATATGCAGACTAGTTTCTAATGCCTGAACGAAGATTCTTGTCTGAAGATTGCATATGTCTGTACGCATATGTGCAGCTTCTCGTGATCATTAGTACCCGGTAATGAACAGCAAAGGATAAGATGTTTTCCTTATCCACAAAAATTCAAACATCGTAGACTCATCTACACAACCATAAAACACTCCCTGTCCAAAAAAGGAGTAACTACTACACTATCAGGCATTGCAATCAATGACCCACAACCTCGCCAAATCTTTTGGCACTGTTAAAGCTTACTAGTATACCACGCTTACAAACCTAGATTGACTAAAGAAGAGGTTGTATTCAAAAGAATCATCATCGTGTGCATCAAAATGCAGCAGAAACTGACTTAAACTTGAGTTGCAGTGAAAATATTGAGATGCTTGCAACGGGATACCAAATCGCACTGGCGGGTAGTTAGGAGATGTATATCATCACAAATGACTTCAAAGAATGAAATTCGGACCTTCTAGGGCTTATAACTTCTACCAGAAAATCATCCCCAGATAAGAAAACATATCGGAAATCAGCGGTCAGAGGCGCTTGGTGATATCATCTCTTTCGATTTTGCCCTTGGATTATTCCCTTATCAGCCCAGATGACGATAAAGGAGGAGCAAGCAACGCCGAGAACTTAACCTACGTTATGTTTTAGATTTGAACCCGTTAAAAATGTAGAAAAAAGTTGCTTTAAAAGAAGAAAAAGAAATGGTCAAGATAACTGTTTTTACTCTTTCAGATGACTGCAAAAGAGAGTAAAGCCCCAAAAACAATGATGCGCGAAAATGATCACAATATGATTTTCAAGAAAAGAGTAAAACATATATAATCAATGAACAAAAATTCCATTACAGCTGGTCAAGAGGCACGATTTCTCCGGATGTCACCGACTCCAAAGCCCGGTTCGGAGCTGTACAAGTCTTTTGAAGATAACAAACAATCAGCATTGAATTATCAGCTGTTCAAAGTTGCCGCTTGCTTGAATCGATGATAATTGCTGAGAAATTGACCGAAATATTGACAAATTTGCTGTCAGTTGCATTTTTATAGATTCTTGACCTCCATCATTTACGTATTGAACTCATTTCAAGATGATAGGGTGGAACAAGCGATGCAGTGATTTTATGTAACTCTTGGATAATAAAAAGGCTTCTGAACTTCACGAGACAATAAAAAAGTGCTTTTTGATGTCCACTTCGCAATAAAAGTTGCGCTTTTTGACATACGCTCGAGTACAGCAAGCTCATATGATCTCACAAAAGCAAAAACTTTAGCTTCGCAAACCTATGTTTTACATGCACTTACAGACGCTCCGAAAAATTTCGGCACATCAAGTCAGGAAAATTGATGCAAAAACAGATATAGTTTGATTACCCTAGCAGTGACGTATGATTCAAAAATTCTACGAAAAGAAAGGTCATCTAGAGAGCGAAAGAATGAAGAAACAGTCGAAAATAGTGAGATCAATTTGAAAATGCGAAAACCCACCGATATGCCCTGCCTCTGAACTTGTACCCTTGTGCAGAGTCTGGATTTATGGAGATCGCCTTATCGCAATCGGCAATGGCCGCACGTGGGCGCTTCAGTTTCAGCAGCACACTAGATAAGGCAATCAAAATATGTTAAAAGCAGATGACGATATAGAAAAGATTGAATAAAGGTGATTTACTAACTTCGCTCTTTTCGCGTGTAAAATTGCCGATCCTGGATTGAGTTCGATCGCGTCTGTGAAATGCTTCACAGCATCCTCGAAGTTACCTGAAAATTACATAGTTGCTTGAAATGCAAGGGAACTGTTGTTGCAAACTACTCATGATTTTATGAAGCCAAAGTCTGATGTTCCAGACATGGGAAAAATGAGATAAGATGACCACACATCTCTGAGAACGTGTAAATAAAAGTATCCAACTAAAAACGCAGAAAGGTGAGCGACAGGTGCACTACATCGATAAATTTGAAAAGATGAACGCGTTCAAGTACACTAGCATTGATGAAGCATGCGCCAATCATAACTTATAATAACGGGCTAAGGGTGTTTACGTGACTTTGTGTGTGTGTGTGTGTGTCCGTCTGTCTGTAACGAAATTCGTAGGGAGAGTTCCAGCCAACCTCTTGAGCCCAAATCTTGCATAGCACATCCTAGCAGCAGGAAAGTCCATTGTGCAAAAGCACAAGCTGATCCGATAAGTGGATCCCCTGGAAATTGCGCGTGAAACGGGTCCACTCAAATTCTGACCAGCAAAATTGGGTCCATATATAAACTTTTTGCAAAGTCGTGGATATGTTTGACAAGCTAATGCACAAGCCATGGACTTTAGCCCAAAAAATTCAACTAAAGTTGGTTACTTTACGAAGATGGCGTCAAAAAGAATTAGTTGCGTAAATGTTTAATTTCTTAAGAATTTACGTGATCATTTGAGAAGATTTTTGCACGGAGATGTAGCCCACGATGATTATTGCCGTTATGGCGACTACTAAGCCATAAAAAGTCACAAACCTATTCAAATTTGCATTTATTCTTTTGAGAAAGGTTTCGTCCACGTGAAAATATACCCATTTCACACAAAAAAGCTCTAGAAATAAGTAGCTGTTTACAAATCATTCGTGATAGCCTGCATAACGCGGTGAGTTTCATTATCACTATTATGAGGGAATGAGTAAGGCATACAGAAAGTAGGGCCAGTGCGAGCCTCTGCGAAGCAGAGGTGACGCACTGGTAATACTAAATTCGACAAATTCGATTTTCGAACAAATATGGTAAAGACAGAGTTAGTGAAAAACGAAACTTTCAGGCTACAAAAGAGAGAAGTGAAAACTTCATGTGATGAGAAAAGGAGTCATCCAAATACATCTTTTGTTCTGTCGTAGAAGCAAAACTACGGACTACGAACGCATCAGGATAAGCAGATAGGGTGACGACTCTCATCGCGTATCTAGTCTCAAAACGTAAATGACACCACTAATCTTTCAAAAATCTAACTACCTCAGCCTGATTACGGAGTTCTACTATTGTGAAGTGGTTATGACTAGTCTGAAATACTTCTAACAATAAGAGCTCTAACTTCCTGGACAAACTTAGCGTTTACATTGCGTGATTAAACACAAACGGAAAAGGAGAGGCGGCATGTAAACAAAAACAAATGAGAAGTCATTCGAAACACAAGCGAAAAAAATATTAATTAAACTGCAAAACATAAAAGCAAGAGCTACGCACCTTCGGAAAACGCTGACATAGCTTTGTCTCGTTCCTCATTAGCTTTCTCAATATCTTCATCAGAAGCCTAAACATGACTTGAGAAGTATGAACTGAGAAGCTTATGTAAACTAAACACTACCTCCTTGTTCGGATCACCCATCGGGAGCGGCTCGCCACTATCCTCTTCTATTACGCCGGTGTTATCGATATCGGATGGGTACGGAATAGGCGGCTCTTCCTAAATCGAGATAAACATAACCAATGATTTGAGCGGGAGCCAGGCATCGAATCGGAAGGTTTGCTCTCTATGAACAGACCGACATACTGTGAGCTTCAAAACGATAACCCAATCACTACATGGAACAAGATCGTTAAGTTTTCAGCAGGTATCCCAGAGTGAATCGCTACTCGATAACAGCTGAAAACTGCAAGTAGGGACTTGTTGTTACCCATATGGACCCAGCCCCACGTGAGTGTTGGTAAATCATCGCTTTACTTCGTTTGGTGTTTGTAATCTGATGGTATTCACGCTCAAAAGATGGGGGAAAAAAGGTGAAAGACTCAAACGAAGGTGAAAGACTTAAACGAAGAAAAAAACCATTTGCAAAAAACGCACTGGTCAGTCTGTGTATTACCTAATCTCTTCATTAGATCCTGATGTAAGTTAGAGGAGCACAAAAAAGGCCGCAGATTATAAGAATATCCAGTGATTGTATGGCTTGTCTCCCCCAGCGCGGCTTCCATAGATACCTCCAACTCGCTCTCTTTCTTTCCTTTCAACACACTTCATAGGCAAGCATTGTAAATCTTCCTACAAATGCGTCAAGAGAAGAAAAGGCAGCAAGGGTATGAGCAAGTTAGAACATACCTAAGGGAACCTCACCAGAAACTCGTGGACTACTGCAGAGGCTCTACTTAGCTAACATTTTTGCTTCTTCAGCTTCATAAAACGCGTTCAAAGCGGTATTTTGAACATAAAAATCAAGTTGTAAATAGAAAGCACTGGTATTTTTATGCTGCAAAGCATAATAGAAATGTATACACAACATTCGCGTAAAAATGAGAAGAAAACCGGTAACATGAAGATAAAAACCAAATCATCTCCATCAGATGCATATCAATCAAAAAACATACCTCCATAGGTTCCGGCTCCGGCTCCTTCGTCTCAGCTTTATGCCCTGCTTCAGCATGCGCCTTTTCGTGCGACTTCTTGGGTGGTATGGTAGCACCCAATCTGAAACAATTCTTCGGCAGTGAATTGCTGCCAAAACTTTCATGACATACTCTATGAGGAAGTCGCGAAAGAAGTCCAGTGATGGTTCATGCAGAAGGTCCGGGTTAGCCTTCACTGCAGTGACGAACTGCTTCAGCAGTAGAAGATGGTGTTGTTCCATTACTGAAAAACTATGCGAGAATTAACGCTCAAAGCGAAACATAAGAGAGACGGAAGCAGCACCAGACCAAAAGATTAGAATGTTATGAACTTGTCAACTAAGTACGAGCATTCCATGACCAAAAGCTTAGCCAGGTCCGGAAAAAAGATTGCGAATGTCTAGGTACCGATGCAGAGTCTCACTATATCAATACATGGGAGGAGGTAAACAATGACGCCTAAGTTACATTACCACACTCGCTCGGCCGAGTTACCAGTACGATAAAGGAGCGTATTCTGCCCAGGTTTGATACAGAACTTATCAATAGCAGAGACGGGTCACCGGCAACTCCGCTCCAGCGTGGCCGCCTCGCCTAGCTGCAGCTCTTTCGCGAACAAGCTCTCCAATCATTTTCATACGCTCAATTAGCGATTGAAGCATGCAGAGTCCAGGCATGATGACCACGCACCAGCGGATATGCTGGTGCACCCGACTCTGTGTTGATAAGCCTTATATCTAATCTGCTCCAAGCACCTAACATGCTGACGGCATGAAACAACATGTTAGCAAATTTTGAATTCTAGGATGTCACTATGTTGCTTCATGTTCTTAACATGTTGTGACGCAGAGCAGGGGCAGCAGTAATAATGTAGGGGACGATACACCTCTGTGAGCTACTGGCCCTCGGGATATGCCAATGTATCATCGGCTTCCAGATTCGTGTGGAGGTGGAGTCTTGCCAACTCACCGCGTGGCGGTTTTTGCTAGCGAGAGAGCACGAAAAGCAATGCTATGACGTGGAGGTTTAACAAGTTTACCTGCGTTACCAGGCAAAGTCTGCAATACACCTCCACACGAACCTGGAAACCGATCATATGAAATGAGCGCTGGTCAGCGGACACGTAACTCGGCCCCGAATCAGTCGTAATCTGTCAAAATCTCGAGATATTGTTTCAAGAGACAGGTTCTTAGTAAGCATGACTTTGTGGTCTAGTACAGAATCGAGTACTGCTTCCAAGGGACGAGCGGAGTGGTGGTATGACGCGTTGCTATAAACAGAAGCAATGCGCCCTTGCGTCAACCAACCCTTTACCCTCCAGGGACGGTAAGTTGGAATCAGACCAATCTGAGAGGCAGAGAACACTTGGTTATAATCGGCTAACTCCTGCAAGTCTCTGCAAAAGTTGGCACGTATCCAACAGCCTCTTCGACCATGAAGTACCCTTTGATTCAACTGGTTTGGCTCCTAGGCGGGGCTTCGTGACCTATTAAGGTCAACTAATGATCAGAGAGCACGCGCGCGAGAACGCAGACTGCAAGCGGTCTTGGGTAGGTCACAAAGCCCCGCCTTTCAGGAGCCGAGCCAGTTGAATTAAAGGTTATAATGCGTTTACTTGCCCGCTGAGGGCCACATTTTGGTCATCTGTGCGCGCGGGGCAGCTGAAGACGTGTGGTCCCGACGCGGTATAGGTAATTCACAGGCGACAATGAGCCTCGTTTAGACCATATTTTTATAAGCTTTCAAAGATACTTTTAGCTAAGAACGTAATGTGCAACGCTGAAACAACGTGGATGTTGACTGGAAAATTCGTAAATGATACCGCCTATAATGCCTTGCGACGACCGCTTGTTTATGCTGGAGTTCAAGGACGGTGCGGGTAATTAGGTTTTACAAGGCCTATGACTTCGTCTACAAAGCCGTTCAGCAGATAAGGAAGAAAGATTTGGGGTCAGCGCCCTTTGCTCCACTGAACGGTAAGGAGCCCGTCTGGATTGTCCACTTCGACTTCCATTCCCTTATTAGATATTTACTTACCCGTCCAATGTGCAAAAGATTGTGGTCATTCCAGCACGGATACTGTTTTGGTAAGGATAAGGCAAAAAGCATAAATGATATAAAATCATGAATGGTATCATTCATTGTTCCCAGCAGCGCCCGTTTCCACATATGGCTAATTGCAAAAGTAACCACTAGACCACCGCAAAGAACAGGTGACGCACTCGTTTTCAAAAGACGGTGAAAAACGCATAATTATTCCTCTCATAGAACGGGTTTCTAGTGCAAAAGCACCTCTACTGAAAAAAAGGCGAACCGGATTGATTAAAACGCAAAAGATCATGATGGAGTCCACTACGCATTCATCTGTTGACCTCTTTCCAAGAGAATGTTCGCAGACCTACTCCTTCCTTCGTAAAATTTGAAAACAGCAATGCTTTCTTGAATCTTGCGAATGGTGAAAACTAGAACTCCTGCTGAATGAGTAGGTCAATCAAACTGAAACAGACCACACAACCCAACGAACGACTAAACCACAATGAAACGCGAACGCCACGCGCTGAAAAAGAATGGATTGGGATGGTCAAGTGAAGACACGTGAGAATTGCCCGCGCTTTCTGGAATCTTGCCCGGGGCATACGTTTGCAGATTGGAGCACTTCATATGAGGAATTCAACAAACACATGCAGTTCGGAAGAAAGTTGGGAGTGACCTTCAAGCCAGCATGTGAGTTGATTTCCAGCAACAAACTATGACTATTTCACTGTTCATTTGATGAGCTAAAATATGTTAAACTGAAAAAGGTTCCAAGGATGTATAGTCTTTTTCAACCCGGATTAGGCCAAACATTCCAAGTGGAGCAGGGCGTCCGCACCGCCATTGGCTCAGCGAGATAGATTAGAATGAAGAGACGCAGACTACAAAGAGGCGCGAATCGCTGCGAAGCGGACTCCCGCCAGTTCAGTTTCCGCCTAAACTGAGTTGAACCTCACTATATCTTCAAAATTGAATAAGATGTATTTGCAACAAAACATCTGCAACTAAGACGGTCAAATAGGGACTTTAGCGCCATGAGTTACAAGGAGGTGTAGTCGATGGATCTGCCCGTATTTGAAAATCACTCCGAAGTGGATAAGTGACATATCATTCATTCTGTGACTAAGAGACACAAGCATGCTTTGCTGACGTTTAATTAACAAGTTCATGAGTGTGTTTTGGCGCGTTTTGGTTGATTCACTATGAGGATCTCGGAAGACATGTTCGAGCTCGTTAATAGATGCAAGTTCAAGCATGTTCTTCTACGAATTCCTATTAGTAGATCAACAAAACGCGTTAGAACTCATGCATGAACTTCTAATTGAACGTAGCAAATCGTGCTCGTGTCTCTTACTCAGAGAATGAACAATAGATACTTATGGGCACTAAGCAGCTGTAGTATGAGAACTCAATCGTTTATACTCGTTTCAGTTTTTGATCACCGCCGATGAAGAAGAAAAAAACAAAAGTTCCACTCATTTCCCATATTTTACAGAACTCAACGATTGCAAACTCTGTGAAATCTGCATTCTACATAACCTTTGATTCAACTGGATTGGCGGCTGGAAGGCGGGGCTCTGTCCTAATTAAGGCCGCTCGCACTCGCGACGTAGTCAGCGTCTCTCTCAGGTAGGCGCCAGACGAAGCGACTGTTTTGTTCACCTGCAAAATGCGCGCGATTGGTAGGTGCCAGAGTAAGCGAATATTTTGTTCAGGTTGGGCTCGGCGCAGAATTGACGTCACTTGGATTGACGCCAGCAGGCGAGGGACGCCAATTCTGCTGAACAATATTCGCTTAGAGACCGGCCATACTATTCCAGGAGGTGATTCCTGCGAATCCTGTAATTCGTGCAATTCCTGTGATTCCCCGAATTCTGTGCCGCACTACGGAGCACTTTGCAGCAACTTCAGTATTGGTACATTATTTTTCCGCAACATACATTGTTGCGGGACAGCAGGAATCACAGGAACCGCACGAATTGCAAGAATCACAGGAATAGTATGGCCGGTCCCTTACTCTGGCACCTACGCCTGCTTCAGCTGCGGGTCCAGTGCAGAATTAACGTTATCTGTGCTCCCTTTTGCAGCTGAAAAAAAAAACAGTCGCTTAGTCTGGCGCCTACCTCGCGCTCGGCTCTCTGATCATTCCCTAGCCTTAACTTCACGAAGCCGCGCCTTTCAGCCGCCATTCCAGGTGAATCAAATGGTATTTATAAGGCTCTAATGTATTTTTAACTTATGTGTCTTTCTGGACTGCTTGTTCGACATGAACCAAGTGTTACTCGAAGCGCTATTACTTTGAAGCACGCGCCGTACTTATCCTCTTCATGCAATGCATACTTCAAACAAAATGCGGCACCACTAAACGACATGCTTTTGTCATTTGGCGTTGCGTAAGGGCAAAATTTTTTTGTTTCATTTCTCTGTTACAGATAAAAACCAGTCGTTTTGATGTTGATGTTTTTGTTTTCGCGCTTTGTTCTGGAGCGCTTGCAGTGGATGGAGCTTTCATGAGCAGTCAGTGGATCAAACTAGGGGAGGCAAATAGTGCGGAGAAGTGGCTTGTATGGGGCTCTGCGTGTTCGCGAGAGTCGTGGATTTGCGGCCATTGCACACGCAGGGTGTCACAGACCTCAAAACATCAAACCCTTACACCTTCCAAAATCGTTCACATCAAGCCCTTACACCTTCCAAAATCGTTCAAGTAATTAGAAGCCAACCTCTGAAACAGAAAAGCGCTTGAAAGGAGAAAGATAACAGAGAAAGCTCACGCATTAGCCGCAGACTTACCGACTCCCGCGATCACGCAGAGCTCTACACAGTCGATGTCAATTACGTACTCCCTTTCGCATGGGACCTACGCATGCGCAACGCAAGGGCCCTGCGCGCGGACCGCCAAACGATAAGGTCAACTTGAATGCCCGAGCCATACGCGCGCGAACTTGGCGCGAAACTCACTGCGCTTAGGTAGGTGCCAGAGTAAGCGAATATTTTGTTCAGATTGGGGCCCCGCGCAGAATTGACGTCACTTGGATTGACGCCAGCATGGTGAGAGGCGTAAATTCTGCGCGGGACCCCAACTGAACAAAATATTCGCTTACTCTGGCACCTACCTTACGGCAAAGGGAGCACGTGATTAACACGAATTGTATATAAGCCGTACGCGCTGTTCGCGGAGAGCTTTTATCACAAATCCGGCCCGGTGCGGACCGCTTACAGGACGGTCTGTCCCGAGTGGAATTCCGAAACATTCGCGGAGTGGGGCGCCGCCGGCCTCGCCAGCTTGCACAACATCGAAGAGCGACAGCGCTGGCAAGAGGTCAGCCGGAGATCGATGAGAACTAGAGATGAGCACATCCCGCCGACGGATCTTGTTTGGAGTGTCGTGGTCAGCGGGAGTCGTTGGGAAACAGCCGTGGCATCCCAATTTCAAAAAAACTATTGCTGGCAAACTGACAGACTTCCGTCATGAAATGTCTATGAGTAGATGGAACCCAACTTGAAGGTGCAGGAAGTATGGTGGATTTACCAATCTAGAGCAGCGATGAACGAAAATTGCCGAAATTTTATTCCCCACCATTCGGAAGGGCTGGTTTGTTGAGAGTAATCTTCTAAATCTAGCAACAAATGGGTTTTTTAAGACCAAGTTTTCTCTCTCGAAGCTAGGAAAGACTGTTCATGGAAACCTTACTTCATGTAGTTCAACTTATTAGCATCTTTTCTACCCTACCGCCACGCCTGTAGGTACATCTTGTGTGGTTACGTATTGCCACAGCGCTTCACGTATAACGGCTGTTATGCACGTATCGACTTACCCTGCGTCTCTTCCTTCTGGTTTCCATCCGACAACCATTTATTTAGCTCAAATAACTTCTTACATGTGTTTAAGGATGCCTGTGAAGTATATGGATGAGTGGCCCAAGAAGAAAGCACCACCTTTCAACGAAATAGAAGCGGGTAGGCTAGTCGCCCTCTACTGCGAGAATTACGACTCCTATCATGGAAAGACTAAATGGGGTACGTTAACTAGTACCATTTGATTGGAAAAATCATGGTTCCTTAAGGGAAGAACATAGTTAGTGAGAAACAGCGGTTCTTGAGAGAATGGTCGAAAGAAATCTCATCAATGGGGTATGCAACGCGCACCAAGGATCAAGTCGAAGAGAAGATCAGGAACGAGGTGAAGAAAGTGAAAAAATATTTGAAGCACATCAAGACTGAGGTACATTTTTCTATGCTTTTTACTTCATTGTTTTTCTCCTTGGTAAACATTGAGCTCGAGCTTGGTAAAATCTTACATTTACAAGCATAGATTTGATGATAGCTGATACTTGCTTACCACCACTTTTTTTCAGTTTACTGTATAAGACAAATGTCTAGCTTTTGCACTTTTTTCTGAAATTTAGAAATCAAAGCGAAAAGGCGACAGTGATGGGAAAGCACGCGTTTGGAAATTGCCACTATATCTCGACCCTCTCGTTGAGCTGATCTCCCATTTGGGTCCTGAGCATGGTACGTCAGGAGCAGCAATCACACATAATCACCCTGAATATGATTTGACAAGAGCAGCTAAACAGTTGCTCACACCAGCGCAAGGTAAGAGAGTATTTGGTTATTGTCTCACTTGGTCTTACATAATATTTTGGTTGTATGGTGGGTTCACATTTTTATTAAATAAAGGCAGCGTCATCAGAATCTGATTTTTTGGTACCGAGAATCACAAGTTTGTTCCTGCGTAACCCACTATACGGGGTTGGGCACCACGTCAGGAGGTAAGTCGCGCACGCGACCGCTTTGCCGCGCTCAGTGTGTCCCACAAAGTCTCTCGGGTCTGAAGTGGCACGCCAGCAAACTAGGGGGGGGGGCTCGATGCCATAAGTCACAAGGAGAGCAGGATCATGTACTTTGACGATACGTTGCCGCAATGCGAAAAAATCCGCGTCGATCGTATTTCCTGACTTTCCCTACGGGAAACAGTGTGCACGACTTGAACAGTCCATCGCAATCGAATCCGCGGATGCTCCTGCTTTGGACAAAAATGGGAGGGGAACGAAGTGAAGTAGTGGGCAATACTCTTACCACTATTGATAAGATGACGCATGCACAGTTTGTTCCAACCTGATTAAAGGCAGTGTCCGGCAAAATTTTGCTTTTCGATTCACCTTTTCGGCGCTTTTCGTCACGTTGAAACAATTTCTGGGCTTTCCTGCGCATGAAAGTGGCTAAATGAGCCTTCTTCGAAGCTCTCCAAATTCGCGTCTGCTCAAAATTACATACAAGGCCTCGGGAAGAGTTTACGCGGTTTCATCGTCGCGAGTTATCGCGAGACATGTATTAGGCCTAAGGCATACCTCACGCGATTTAATCGCCGCGATTTTCATTCATTTTCATTTTACATTCAGAAATTTCGAGCTGGAAAAGTATCACAACCGAAATGCAAGCTGATCGGCATGCAATGAACTCGTAACATTTGTATTGTAGCGATTGAATCGCAACAATTAAATCGCGTGAACTCTGTCCGAGGCCTTAGACCTTACGAGTTCTTTTCATACCGATCTTCTCGTATTTCGCTTGTGATCGTTAGTCACGATTAGCCGTGTTAAAAAACTATCACAACCGAATTGCGAGAAGACCGGCTTGCAATTATATTGTTACAGTTGTCTTGTCGCGATGATTCGCAACGATCAAATCGCGTGAACTCCGTCCGTATGCGTAAGGCTCGAGGCATAACCCACGCGGTTTCAGACCACGCTATCTGGCAATTTGCCAGATGTTTTTACAAATTCAATACTGGTTGACTCCAAAAGCACAGCAAGTAGGTTGATAAAATGCCCCATCTTCCGTACATTCGGAGACCCATTACGATGAGTTATGACCAACTGGAGTATTGCCAAATCGCGTCGCTACTGGAATCGCGTGAGGTTCGGCCTAAGTGGGCAGGGTCGGAACGAGGGGCGGGCTCCGGGAGACTTCTGGAGTAGGTTTTAGGCCTTCCAGATGCGCTTTTTCGCTCTAAACTTCGCTGTCAGATTATTTAGGGGTCTACTTTTGCAACGCTGCGAAATCCCAATGCCCATGAATTTGCCGAGACTCTCCTTCAAAGGCAGCGTCCAGGCTAAACCTAACCCCCCCGATTAGTGACGATTCTGAATGTAGGCCCCAGAAAAGGGGCATCTGCGTTGGTCGGGTCTTCTAACGTTGTCTCTGAATGGAGATAATTGGCCTGAAAGTCCGTGGCTGGGCGGAGTCTGATATCAGACTCCGCCCACCAGGGACTGCTCACTGCACACTGCAATGCAACTGCACCCATGCAGTTGCAGCTCCTTCCCGCTGGCCTGCCGACGGGGACGAGCAATTCGAAACTCGTCCGCGCCCGTAAGACTGGGTTTCCAAGAATCGGGTTTTTTGTAAAATTTAGAGAATTTGAAGTTCGGAACTGTAATCAGGGCCACGGAAAGGCCCCAGAATGACAAGAACATGGGGGGCCAGACTCTGGGTGGACGCTGCCTTTAAGGGAACGGCCATAGGTTGTCGGTGTTGTCGATGTTGTCGATGTTGTCGGTGTTGTCGATGTTGTCGGTGTTGTAGGTGTTGTCGGTGTTGTCGATGTTGGCGGGGTTGTCGGGGTCAGAGACAGTTTAGAGAGCGCGCGAAACGTGAAGGCTATCATGAGGTCCTACAACGACCGGCAACCCCGAACACCGACAACACCGACAACACCGACAACACCGACAACATCGACAACACCGACAACACCGACAACCTATGGCCGCTCCCTAAGAGATGATGTGCATGTATCCCCCCCCCCACAGTTGCTGCTACCCTTGGTCTCCATCTCAAACCTGCCACGTGTGGCTAACATGTTGGCAACGTGGCGGCAATATGTTTGCAACGCCACAACATGTCGGCAGAACATTTTGGCCACGCCAACATGTTTTGGCATGTTGCAAACATGTTGTTGCCACGTTGCCAACATGTTAGCCACACGTGGCAGGTCTGAGACGCAGACCAAGGGTAGCAGCAATTGTGGAGGGAACGATATCGTCCCTTCCACAGTTGCTGTACGTCTATGATTTGCGCCAAGCGGGCTAACGTGTGAGCAACATGTAACAATGTGTTGGTTAAAAGCAGCAACGTGCTAGCATAATGTTTCGGCTGGTCTGGTCTCAAGGCCAAGATGTTGTTGCACGTTGCCGACACGTTGCTGCTGTTACTAACATGCTAGCCAGACGTGCAGCAGGTCACGGACGCAGAGCAGAGATAGCAGCTATATAAAGGTGATGACCGCAACGGTTTGGCCATATCGCTACGGGGGGGGGGGATCACTTACTATTGTCAATTAGAAATTGCCGCGACGCGGCGTTACAGCAACCCGGGCGAGAGGCAAGGGTCAGAGAAAATGTCTCAAAGGAAATGCTTAAGGGCTTAGTATTGTGAACAAAAATTCCTTATTCTGTCATCAGGTAAATGATAATTTCCATAATTCCATTCACTATCTATTTCATTTTTACACGATTTGGGGCCAAACTTCCATTAAACAGTAAAATTTGATATTGTAGTGTGAAAAAATTCACAAAAGATAGAATAGTATGCCTTGCGAGTCGGCTACCCAAGCTCTCTTCAGAGCTGATTACTGCAAGCCTGTCGCATGCGGCATCTGCTTAATTGACAGTCACAAGTAAAGGGATATACCCTCGCTAGTCACTGTATCACATCGTTAGGCACACCATACTACCTTGGGCTGCACTTCTGGGGTACGCCCCGCGCGCCGCGTTCAGATTGAAATCCACAAAACTTCCGCTGTTAGAGATTCTCGGCTACAAAAACGGAGGGTGGAGGATGGGGGCAGATACACGACTCGATGCCATAATTAACATCGGGCCCGAGTGCTGATGTTGTATTGGTTACGCTGCTGCATCGCTTCGCAAAAAAGCCGCGCCGATCGTATCTACCTCCTGGCCGTTCCCCTATTACTTGATAGGCTTGATCCTGGTTAAATCACCAAATTGAGCAATAGCCAAGCGGATACCACTTCATCCGCTTGATCCACTTTGATATTGGAGTGGATCAAGGGGTCAAGTATAGCGTGTGCTTAACAGGAGTATTATGTACGTCTCCTCAGATTCTTTGGCCTTGGCCTCTGAAAGTGCCTTATGTTCTTGGAAGTGCGCCCCACGTAAAATGCTTTGCATACATCGGAATGAATAAATTGCATGGTCTTTGATGCTAGTCAAAACGCTATTAAAGCTCGGGTAGGAGATAAAACTAATGTGCGACCCCCTATTTGGATAACCACTCTTGATCGATTCGATCCACTTCATCCACTATTGGTCGATCAGGTGAAGTGACCGGTAGCGAAGTGAATGAAGTGAAATTTGGTCTGGCGCATGATTGAGCTGTGACACGTTCCACTTCGACTTTCTAGTAGTACTTTTGCGGTATCGACAATGTTTGCGAGGAAACAGTCGCCATAATTGTATCAGTGATTGTACCTTGAAAGATGTCATAGCTACCTTGTCTGGAAGCCAAAGAGGTGCGTCCTAAAGGTTGGAATTTGGGATTTTCAATGTTGTGAAAGTGGACGCAGTTGGTCACGCCACAGTCAAGTGGACGCCGTTCGCGGGCGTTAGTGGGTTTGATTGGAAAGAGTACGGTAGTGGACGAAAGTTCAGACTAAACTTATTTTTGGCTGCGAATCAATCGTACTGCTGCTAGGCAATGGCGTAGTCAGTACTTTCAACCAGTCTCTCATAAAAGCTCAGGTACTCCAACCAGTCTCTCATAAAAGCCCAGGTACTTATTGTGAGATTTGGTAGAGCGCTACCTTTATGGGTTAATCTTGCGTACTCAAAAATGTGTTGAAAACAGTCAAAAGTTCAACAGTCAGATTATCTAAGCCGATTTCAGTCGTGACATTTGGTATTTATAGTAGTGCTCCATACCAGCATCATTTGTATTTTATCCTTTCCAGAACCCCATTTCTCCGACAGAAACATCTCACCAGAAAATGAGGGTGATCTTGAGTTGTGTGGTCCAACGGATACTACGGATACCAACGGTTCTTTGTTTGATGACAGGTGTGATTAGAAAATGAGTGTGAATTGAATGTCTTCTGCTTTTCCAGAAAACCTACTAGGGAAGAACTTCGTGAACTTCGCGCTAAATTAGGTATGGATACGTCGGTTATTCTGGAAGACCCATCCACTTGCAATAAACACAAATCTTCATTGGATCGCAGAGACAGCGCTAACTGTATTACCACTGGCTCAGAAGAAACACCTAAAAGTACCACGAGGTCAGTGAGTCCAGTGCATTTGCTGATGTACTGCTACATTTCAAGTTTTGAATGCTCTCTTCACTTATGACTGTTAAATCGTTTGAATCAAAAAGAAACTAGAGCGGCATTCAAGAGTCTGAGTTGTAAGTTGAGTTGTAAGTTGTAAGTTGTTAAAGTTGTTACTGCTAGCAATTTGCGTTATATACCTTTTCTCTGATTCTTCATGTTGAAATATTCCGTTTTGTCAGGATGGATCGTGAGTTGCATTGCTCGCTTACCAGCCAACGATTGAAGTTATGTGAGGAAAAGACGAAATTAACAAAGATGAAACAAGAAGAAGTCGCCATTAGACTGGAGGAGGCAAAAGCATCGCTTCAGTTGCGATTAATCGAATTGGAAAGAGCTAAAGTCGAATTAGAGCGTGTCCGAGGTGTTGGAACTGAAAGAGAATCTCCTGCACCTACACCACCCACTTCTATCAAAAGTAATGGTGCATAATTAACATATTTTCTTAGCATTAGATTGTTTTCTTTTTGCACTGAAAAATTCCCTTTTTCTTCGCTAAAGTTCAACTGATGCTGTTTTGCTCTCTTTGTCACTAGTCTGGTATCTTTCATCTATGTGCAATCTGTCGCTATCAAAAAGTTTTCGTTTCCATCATTATTTATTTTGCCCTCCAAATCCTTTAAACTTTAGTTCTTGCAGATCTCGTGTCCTATTTTAGTTTCTATGTATAGTTTTTAGTTCCAGAGCCGTTGTATGGCGCGCGCCTACTTGATCCGCTTGATCAGCTTCATCCACTTCGTTATTGGTCAAATCAGCAGAACGACCGATGGCGAAGTGGATGAAGCAGATGAAGTGGATCAGGTATGGCGCAGGCTTATGACTTAGAACTGTCATTAATGTTCTGCATATACAGAATTCAGATATTTTTTGTTGCAAATATTTTCATTTGTACGAAATAATGTGTAATAATCTGGTAAATGTAATCATTTGGTCATCTTTCTATATGGGCGTAAGCCTACAGACCAGTTTGTCCATCAAGTGGGACTGTTTAATCAAGTCTGCTTCTTGAGAGATGGAAAAACCAGCCTTCGAAGATCTGTGGCGGTATTCATCAACGAACCTAGGGGATAAGCTTACTCAGTGGGTTCGCCTACCTAGTGGGTAGACTAACCCATGGTCGGTATTCACGAACGCCTCCGCCATTGGGTTAACTTTCCCAGCAGCCTTACCCAATGGGTAGACTAACCCACGGTCGGTATTCACGAAAACACCTCCGCCGCTGGGCTAGCTTACCCAGCAGTGCTGACGTCAGCAGGGTGAACATTGACGTCTGTCAAAATCACGCTCTGGCGTACTTATCGTGCACATTCCTTACATTTTTGTATTTTTTCACAACTATGTATGTACAACATCTCCACTACGTAATTACGGGCATCTCTGCTGAGTTATCTAACTCAGAGCGTAAGTTTGCATTGTTACTATGCAAGTTAATAGGTGTCAGACATATTTACTTGCAGTCGCGAAATTTTCTCGATACGTTTTTAGTGCCCAACCTCTTTTCTTTTGTTGCAAATCACTTTCACTGAGTGAAACGTGCTTGAAATTCGTAAGTACGTACCTAAGAATGAATCCCCGAATTTCTTAAAATTATAAGTTCTGATTCTAGCTCAATATCTATTTTTTCGCAACGTCTGTTTGGAGTCTTCTTGAACTTTCGGAAAAAATCTTGAATTTTTTGGGTGTTATATGATGCTGGTATTTGCGTTTCTTTTTTTTTTGGTGAGATAGTAAGTTGGTCCTTTGCCGCAAAAACTTTTCTTCAATATTAGAAAAAAGACCTTGATATCTAGATGAGAATTACTTTTCTATTATGACGTACTGCTGCCCATAGCCATTGCAGCTTCCTAAAAATTTTTTTAGCATTTGAAAAAGGGTCAAATTCTTTTGTTACCCATTGCGACTCTCGTTGTGTGCTTGGGTAAGGCGAACCCACGGCAAGTGGGTACCGGAACCCACAAGTTCTGGGTAAGCTGTTTCGTGAATACCGGTATTGGGTACGCTAACTCATTGAAGCTCGTTCGTGAATACCGGTATGGCGGCATTTTGTGGGTTAGCCTACCCAGCGGTAAACTTAACCCACTAGGTTTGCTTACCCAGCAGCTTCGTGAATACCGGTTTCGTGGGTTGAGCCTACCCACTGGATAGACTAACCCCTGGGTTGCATTGGTGAATACGGTCACCGGAAGTATTACCGGTACCCTCGATTTACACAGCAGAGGACTTTGGTTCAGCGATGCAAGAAGAGAAACAGGCATCCAAGTAAGTGCTCAGCAATTACTTCCAGGTAATTTTACTTTACTTTGCTTTACTTATACGCTCAAAGGTGTAACGCAAAAGAAAAAGAAACAGCAAAATACAATGCCAGCTAGTTTTGCATTTATGCCGCTTGTAAACTTACCACTGCTAAGACAGTTGAAGGGATATCACCGGAGGGTAAATGGCGGGGGTCTGCCACACGAAGCAAGCGAACACGTTAAACCTAACACTTCTAACAGATGATAGATTTGGTGGGTACGACCAGTTATGTCAGAAGCTGTACTGCATTACTTCTATAGTTCCTAGTGTCACGAGAAGTCACTGAGGCTCTGACGTGGTGACAGCTCACTAGAAATGGCTAGTCACTCGTCCTTCCTGATGATTTTTGGATTTTGAGCGGCTGAACGGAACGCTTTGAGTGTCCTGGCGTTAGGATTTCGTGTTCACGCGTCAGGATTCGAGCCTGCATACTACCTCTGCATCGCCAATGGCTGAGTCTGCGATGCATGTCTAACGGTGTAGCTACGCAGCTACATTGCCCCCCTTGTGAGACCATCTAGATAAATGTTCTTTGATGCATATGCATAGGGGGCGCGTCTCGCTAATATACGAGTCTCCACATTATACTTTGGAATATTTGGAATTTTTTTCGAATAATCGAATAATCGAATATATTCAAAAGTCCGAAATTCTGAATAATCAATTATCGAATTTTTCCAAATATGAAAATTGTCGAGATCGAGTACCGAATATTTTCGAAACGAAAAAATTTCGAATAATCGAGTATATCCGAAAAAATACAAATAAACAAATACTTTGCATCGATGTTGAATATTCAAACTATTTTGATTGAATAGCTTAATGAAGAACTCCGCATAGTGTGCAACTTGAACAAAAAAACGATATTTGTTGATAAAGCAATTAAAAATGTGACGGTCACGTAGTTTTTCGATTACACGAAAATGTTGTCGAATAACTATCGAAAGTAGAGATTCGAATGTTCGAATATATTCGAAAATTAAAAGTTTTGATTAACCAAATAACCAATAAGTTCGAAAAAACATTTTGAATAAGTGGATATCGAATATATTTTAAGATCTTGAAATTCTCGAATAATCGAATTTCGAAAAAATTTTATTCGAATACGAATATTTATTCGATTCGGTCCAGATATACTTCACATGATGTATACGTGATAAGACAGAAAACACTACACAATTGTACAGAAACGATCATGCTCGCGGTTTCGTACCAGCTGCTGTTCAATGTTTGCGAAAGGAATTTCGACGATTCTTACCGTATTGTTGAGGTCTGTTTGATGGGGTATTCTGCGAACAGCCATACTGAACTCTTCTGAAATGTGCGGTACTCAGAATGGGACCTGATCTTCAGCTTCTGATTTAGGCGGTATACGATGGACACGGTATGTGTAAGGGCGACAAGTTTCTGTGCTGTATCAATTGAATCTTGTTACGGACCTTGCGAGCTCAGCGAGTGCTTATTTTTATCTATGTTGAAACAAGCTGTCACCAAACACCATTTGCAGGATACCAACTATAAGATTTGTGAGAACAAACGATCTCAGAAAGCAATACCGCCGCCTAAGCAGGATATGGTTAGAAGCAACTAAAGCTGAAATATTCCTAGGGCTACGGCGTTTGACGACAGTGTCCGAGAGAATTCCGAATAGAATTTTTTTTCTTTACCTGGGTTTATCCTTCATTTCGAAAAGCAGCTTGCAGAGTAGAAAATGTCGATAGGCCATTCTGGAAGCCTCAAGTTGCGAATTTGGACGCTTGCTGCCGAGATTAAGTCGCGGAGTTGTGATGGAGCCCTAAATCTTGACTGTGTGCGATATGCGCACTCTAGCTTATCAGTTTATCATTTGGTGGGCAGGGTTCTCCGATCGTGGCGTAACTCTCCCACTTCCATAGCATTTTTCGCCCTTCCGGTTTTACAAACTGTGTCCACGATTGGGCTGGGGGTATGTCAAGGCGGCTACTTTTGCGCAACAGTGAAATCCTAGAACCCCAACCTAGTCCGCACACTGCCTTTAAAGACCGTTCTGCTTATGTTTCCTGTTTCTTTACACTCTTACCAAAACACATAAAGTGTCCAAGATTGTAACGAACCCGAACCCGCAGGACTACTAGGTCCTACGGACAAGGTTTCGTGATTTCCAATACCACCATATCTCAACTGCTGAGATTTGTCTCCGCACACCTCTCCAACACCAAGAGGTTCATTCGTTTGCGGCACAAACGTAAGGGTGCTTGAAGTTTCAGTGTGGGTGAATAGCTCTTCGAAAACGTCTCCAACGATGCGGCACTGCAAGCGACCTTCGAACCTCTTTTAGAACACTGTCGTCACAATCTCTAATAAATAAACACGGTAGTGAACAGGCGAACAAGTGAGGCGTGCCGCTTTATATAGCCATTTTGTTGGCTGTCTGACAGCAAGGAGAGGTTCAGCGGTGATTGCGGCAATGCAAAGCTAAGGCTGCAGAATCGCAATCGGCCGCGAATTAGCTGCTCCCGGGTGCAGGCCCCTTTGAGGTGCTCCCGTTCTCCAACTTTGAAGAGCGTGTGCATTGCTAGTTGCGACAAGAGTTGAGGGTCCTTTTTGATTTTTTTGGTGTGTTCAGGCTGGTTGAGTTTAGAAAAAAAATAAGGGCGTTTTGCACTCTCAAAACTAGGTTAATTATCTGGGCAAATCGCGAATGGTATAGCGGCTAATTCCTGCCGCAGGAAACTGCAACAAATTTTCAAGTGAATATTTGAATCACTGTATGCGATTTATTAGAATAAATGAATATTCGATCATTTGAGGAGTCGAGTATTCGACCATGCCTATCATTCTATGATTTGAATGGCCGAACATGTGATCACTTCCAAATATTGCATTGTTCGAAAACTTGAATCCGGAAATCTGCTAGTATTCGAGTATTCGGGTTCGAATTTGAATATTCGGGTTCGAAAACCGCAAGTTAAATAATGCTTGTTTGATCATTTTTGAAGTTCGATCATTTGATATTCAATCGTTCGATATAAGTTTTTGCTCGTGGCAACATTAACGTTCGACTGCTTCAAAGTCGCTGTCGTTTGTGCTTACTCTTGTAAGCGCTAGTTATTGCTCAATCGGGTTGCACATACTAAAAAGACCAGTCAATCCAACAATAGCAACAAAGGCGATGCAAATTCTGCCTTTCGTCGCTGACGCAGGATGCTGTGGCACGACATTGTGTGACCGTGAAAGATTGCTCTAGCGCAAAGCTTTGCGACCGCGCGGAGTTGAAGAATACTTCAATAGTCCTGACTGATTACATCAAAGGGCGGCTAGACGCAACGAATTACGACCACTACTGCATTGCCATAGAATGCTTGTTTTGTCAGTCGCGTCTGGTGAGTGCTCGAATGGTGCAATCGCTGAACCGTAGAAACTGGATTTTCAGGAATAAGAATGTAGACATCTTCATAGCAACAAAGTTGCATATTACGTCTTCGTTTTTAAACCAGATCTGGGGCGGTATGTATCAATCTCCCGTCCGGGTAATTTACCCGGATAGGTAGTTTCCGCTTCATGGCTCGGTGCTCTGGGGATTTGTCTTCATCCTTGTTTGTTCTTCTTTTGGAGGCTCTACTACCCTAATATTGTAGCACAATAAGTAACAGCACTTTGCTGCACAAGCTGAGATAATTGTTATTTGTATGACCCCAAATCGGATCTCCCGCTGATCACGCTCATTTCTAAAGTTATTTACATCCGCAAAAACTCAATGAAAACATCACAGAGTTTTGCTGTCGATTTATTACGACAGTGCTACGCATGTTTGTGGAAGAATTGAGTGAAAAATCAAGTTGACAAAATCTTCAAGGCTCGCGAGTTGGGCTTTATCGAAAAACTCAAAACTTGCACATTTCATCTGTGCTACTAAAAACATACATAGCGCTTTGTAATAAATCGACAACAAAACTTTATAACGTTTTCATTGAGTTTTTGCGGATATAAATAACTTTGGAAATCAGCGTGATAGCGAGAGATCCCGTTCCGGATCATACAAATAACGAATTATCTCAGCTTATGCGGCAAAGTGCTGCTACTCATTGTGCTAAAATATTAGGGTAGTAGAGCCTCCAAAAGATGAACAAACAAGGAAGAACATAGATCCCCAGATCACCGAGCTATGAAGCGAAAAACCGCCACTGGTACAATCGTTAATGAGCCTCTGTTCTTTCTTTATACTACTCGAAAGCACTATATAGAGGAATAAATCTGCCAGGAAAAATTAAGCTGAGATATGTCATTCAAAGAGTTCTGTTGATTTGGACAATTATCTGATCTATGAATTATAGAAAATTTCCTATTACACTTCACTATCAAAGCTTTATTAATCGTCATTTTGAAGAAGTGATGTAGTCAGTTTGTTATGACATTACTTTCTCTAATATACGTATCTATCTACACAACGTTTAACTCTTGACTCTGGACAGCAATAAACCGGTGAGCATGTGGAGAAGAGCAAAGAAGGCAAAAGCAGCGGTTATGCCCGCACAGATAACAAATATGATTTCTGAAAACCCAGATAAGTCAAATATAACGTTTTTTCGTTTTGGCTCAGAAATTTTACCGGGGTCATAACGCTTAGAAGCAGCACTGAGCTCTCTCTCGATGCCCAAAAGCATGAATTTCAGTAAGACGGATTCCTTGCCTTTTTTCTCAGCCTTTCGTAAGGCATCCTGAACTTTTATTCAATTATTATTGAAACTCTACGTTTCGGGCTTGTTATACCATAAATGCTCCCACGGAATTACATATTTCTTCTTGACAAGTGTACTTTGCCTGCAGTGTCCCCGATTTTTTGTCGTAAAAGACACTTAGTATCCTTGTCTCCTGAAATATTCACTCAGGGACGTCTAGTCATTGGTTCTGGTTTGATTTCGCAGCTTCAACATATTTCAAAAACTGCAGAAATCTCACATTTCTTTCACTCATATCTCCTGACATACGCATTTTTCTTATTGTTCTTGTATTTGGGTCTAGAGCAGCTTCCATCATGCATGTGACAAGCCCGGATTTCTAAAACGTACGTTTGAGAAATTGCTGGCAAAATGTCAATTTGAAAACTTTCGAATTGTATACAACGCGATATCATTTACCTGTTTTTTAAGTAGATAGACATTCGTTTTGAGTTGCTCAATATAATTCAAGAAGAAGTTCATGTATTTAACCAAGAATAAAACAGAAAAGCAGATTATAGGGATGAGTGCGCTTCAATCGAAATTACACTAATGATAATTTGTCTTTGGTAATAATTCAACATGAATTTTTATAAATTTTGTTGTGGGCAATAAACTCCCATTGGGTTGAATGCCAACAACAAAATTTACAAAATTCACATTTGGTGAGATATTTCAACAAGTTCGATAGAAATTCATCTTAAAAGATCAGAAAGGACAAAGCAAATGGAGGGACATATTAGATGTGGCCTGACGACTGCTCCTTATAACCAGAGGAAAACTGAAGTGACTTTTTTGCCGAATTATTTCCAATAACTCTACGCATTCGCTGAATGGCAGCTAAATCCACAATTCGTTGAATGAGAACATCCGTCAACAATTCTGTCTGTTTTGAGTCAATGTCAATGACTCTACAATGCAAATAGTTGAGCATCTAATAACGTCCGAACATACTTTGAAAAAAAATTAGTCATTTTAGGATAGTAAATGCGTTTGTGTAGAGCCTCTCATCTTCTTGTCTTCGTCTGCAACACCAAAGAGTAGGCGGTGACTTGGCAAATTTGAGAACTCTAGAGCTCTGTTGTAAAAGCTGGCTCGCTCGCTATCAATCATGCAATGTCTTTGAGACAGCGTCCGGGCAACGGCTGGCTAACTAACAAGGGAATGTTCGGAAATCGAAGTAGCCAATCCAAACAAGATGCATACCATTAAATGCGGCATAGAACGCTGACTTCGAAATTGTTATCCATATCTGCTTCACGCCTTTGTGGGTGAAGTTATGAGCCGTTAAAGGCCGTTGTTTTGCTAAGAAATCGTGCCTGCAGAGCGCAAATTTGGCAGTACAGAGTCGCGTTCGGCTAAATATTGGGCTTAAGTATGCAGGCTAAGTTAGTTCATATTCTTAAAGCCCAAAGGTGAGCAGAAAGTGCAACTATGTTCCAATTTCGCAACTTTTAAGTAGGATTTTTTCGCAATAAAAATGACCATAACTACGTCCACAAAGGCTCGAAGCAGATATGGAATACATTTGAAGTCAGCGTTGAATGTTGCATCGAACAGTAGACAGCTTGCTTGGATTGGCCACTTGGACTCCTTACCATTTCCTTGTAAGAAGGAAAAAGTGGGCCAATCCGCCTTTTCGGACCTAGTGCACAAACTCGGTGCATCTCAACGCCGAATTGAATCTTTATGTTTTGAATTCCAAAAAAAGTTATGTACGTTTTTTTCTGCGGATTTTGCATGGTCTATTGTACGCAAACACACTAAAGTGATGGAAATTTCTGTTTAGTGTTGCATTAGTAAATTAAGTGCAACGTCGGCTACTTTCATTGAGTGCAGATATCGCAAAGAAAACGATTTCAGATTTGGAATTAGCGCATAAAGCTGCATTAGAAGACTCCCTTGTAAGACATAGCCAAGGCGGAGGCGCAGATGGTGCACTCCGGCTGAGATATTCTTCCTTGAAACCAGACCCAGCTACCGTATTTGGCAGACGATTTGCATTGGTTTGCTTGCTTTGCGTGCGGACCACCCGCAAACCTGGGACGGTATGTATCAATCTCCCGTTCGGATAAGTGTTCACGTACAAGCCGTAGTTCAGTTGAACGCGAGCACCCAAGGCCCTTGATGCGCGAATTTAGGACCTACCATGCAAGAGCCTGGTCAGACAGAACCGGTAGATCTGCAACGCCTGGTCACCTATCCGATCTCGCTTAACTATAAGATGTGTGAATAGCGCGTATCTTTGATTAGGTGGCCGAAAATTAGTAAATCGAACTATTTAATCCCTAGTCAACAGGTAAGACTTGATAATTTTGATGTTGCAAGAGATTTGTCTTATTTGAGATTTGATTCGATCTGATCCTGAGAATAACAAAAGATTCAGAGCTCGGACCTTGGGAATTGGGCTCTGAAACTCTTGTAATTTCTATAATCAAACCAAAGCAAATCCCAAATCAGACAAATCTTTTGCAACATAACAACTTCAAATCTTACTCGTTGACTTGTAAATACATTGTTTGTCGCGGCTCCGCGATGCGAGCGCTCCTAGAAGTAGGAGGCCGGGAGCACTGGTTGCTGCCGCGCTACACGGCGACGATAACGGCACTTTCTTACGTTCGCCGCAATCGCCGCTGGACCTCTCCTCGTTTTGGCGCGTTGCCAGCCAAAAGGCTATATATAGCGGCGGCGCCTCATTGCAGCGTCTGTTCGCTTTCGTCTTCGATCAATAATATTTTCATATGTTTTCCATCGTGCTCGTGCTGGCAATTAGCTCCCGCCTTTGATATCTCTTTCGTGTTAGCGGTCGAGCGGACAGAAAGTTATATGAGATCCAAGTGTGATTTCGGATTGTTTTCGGACGCGCCACTTTTGAAGTTAGTTTTTGAGATTTGGGATATTTAGACCTTTCGAATTCTGAAAGGTGTCGCGCCTGGTATCCGGCGACGCGTGGCGGATCTGTTTAGGTGAAGCCTCGGGAGCATCGTTGTTGTTAGAGATTGTAGACGCGCAACATCAGTAGCACGGGCGGGGCACCCTGTCCCGTGTTGGGGTTGTTTTTCCTTACTTTGTTGCAGTTTAGTATCGTAGCGTAGCGTCTCTTTGTTTCTTTTTATGTCATAAGGATAAATGCTAGTACTTTACTAATGTTTCTTCACGCGCTGTGGCAAAATAGTAGGCTAGGTCGCGTCGTATGTTTTAAGCGGGCGAGCGTGCAGGTGTCTCGGGTAAATCTAGGTGCTTAGAGCCCACCGAGCCGCCACATTGTTCGTACTAACGTTTTCGACATCCTAATCAAAGATACGCGTTACACAACATATAGTTATGCGAGATCAGGGAGGTGATTATGGGCGGTATTTATCAATTTCCTGTACATCGCTCTCATACCTGTTCGAAAACCTAATGTAGAGCAGCACGCCAGCAGCGCGAGCGGGCACATAACAAAAACGCCCTGGCATAAATTTTGCATATCGCAAACACGTGGAAACCTATCATTTTTGGTTTTTTTTCCTTTCTCTGCGCTCTAGCACGTTTTTGTATTTATATGCACCTTTGATGATCACTTCTATAATGGTAAGTCAGATTGAGAAGTTAGAGTCATTTTTCTTGAGAAGCGCGGGAAACAGCCAGTTCGTCCTAAATATCAATAAGCATTGGATATCATTGTATTCTAGGACTATATAGCACAAGGACAAGTTAGATTCGCAGAAATGTGCAAAGTAATCAAAAAGTCATATTTCTTGGTTCATTAAAAATAATACGATCAAACTGTATAAGATAGAAGGCTGGATTGGATCACAGTAATTATCAGAAATTTTCATCACTGCCATACTGCCTAGACCTACGGACACTGCCTAGTGCACTGGGCTCAAGGGTCTGATCTGGGAAGTTTGACAAGTCGTGCACGGCATGCCCGGTCACGACAGATCGGGCTCTGCTGTTCGTATGGGCCAAGCTAATCTTTCGTAAATCATGATTGAACGCTCTTGTCTGTTCGAGCCATGTAACGGCGCACCTCGCCTGAACAGCGAGTGGGAGATAGATGAATAACGCCCCAGAGTTGCAGACCTATCCGATTCTGCCTAACCAGGCTCTTGCACGGTCAGGCGCGCACGCGCATCATGGGCCTTGGACGCTCGCGTCTGACTGGATTACGACCTGTACTGGAACCGCTTACTCAAACGGGAGATTGATACATACCGCAGCTGATGGATCACAGCGCAAAATTCTGCAAGTTGGTGCAAGTCGTCCGCTAAGTACGGTACTGGGACAGGTTTGAACGCTGATCGGTCCTAAATCGATTTGTGCAAGTCCTTTACTCGGTGACTCATGTCGCAACGTTACTGCTAAGGATTTTGATCCCAACCTTGGCGAGAAATCGCTTTCACTTGTTCAATTTTAAATTCCAAGATTTGCTCGTTTGTACCAATTTCGCGCTGTCCAACATGGAAGCAGCGTATAAGGAAACCCCAAAAAGTAAAAAAATTTCAAGTTGAGTATTTTCGCAAGACCTTCATGCATTTCGCTGGTAATTATGTGGGACTCTGTTTCTGATGGACGAGCCTAACCTTAGTATCAAAATCAGGTATACATAGAGACCTGCGCAGCAAGAGGGTGTTTTGCATAGTGCAAGCCTTTTCGTCCCTGTCTAACTCAAAACGGGTCCAAAACCGCATAAAATGTACGAAAGCCCCGTTTTTTTGAAGTCCCGTGGAAGCAATGCCCGTTGCCTTCTGAGGCTAGCCCACAGTGTTAGCAACACTACTGAGATAAAAGCCAAGTGTAGGGACATGTTGAAATGCATATGGAAACGGGCATAGTGTTTGCGATTTCGGAATCGCAATTTGATCTCGATGGTTTGGACGATGGAAACGAGACGACGAAGTCGTTCGTCGCTCGTGCATAGGCATAGTGCTCGCGATTCATATCTTGCGTATCCTCGCTACCGGCCTGTGAGCGGCGGACCTTGATTTGACCAGCGACTTTGATTCCCTCAAGCGGGTGGGCGGTCCACCATCATTATCATACTCTTTACCTCTATATATATAAAACTCTAAAATTGTCTGTTTGGAGGGTATGTGAGTTATAGAAACGCTCGCATCTCAACCGATTGAGCTGAAAGTTTGTACACAGATTTTTTGGACCCCGGAGACGTTTCTAGGCTACTTTTTGCGGCGATTCATTGGGTGCTTCTATCGATTTATTCATTTCTTTACGTTTTTTTAAGAAATTGAAGAGTTATCATGTTTAATCAAGCATTTTGCCATAGTCTTGTAGAGGAGGGCGGTGAAGCTCATTTTCACCTCAAGGTCACGAGGATGCGGTTTCGAAGCGGATGTTCCAGGGTAAGTTATCCACAACATAAAAAGGGGGGGGGGGCTGGTGCAGGAGAACAATGGCCCGGTCGGACCGGGAAAGCCAACTAGTCTCACATAATCTTGAAATCTCTCATTGCAGTGTTCTTCATCAATGCTGTTTTCATGGCCTGGTGGCTATTTGAGCTACAATGATCTGAGGTTAGCCGTTGCCGATGAATCATATGAACTTCTTTCCACATTCATTACACCCCAGAAAGGGAAAATGAGGAAAGAAGCAGATACAAAGAAGTGAATTTTGACTATGACAGCGATTAATTCCTGGCATATGCAGAAAGCCCTTTTGGTAGGGTTCTTCTGCAAAGCTATATAGAATTGACCAAAAGTGAAGATGAATTTGAGGTGACGAGGTTAGAAGTAGGTTTACGTTTGATCGTGTTGAAAGAAAGTGCATCACAATGTTTCAGAATCGTATTTTCAATATGTATCTGCACAGTTCGCAAGTAAAGGGTTATCCAAGTGAAACTCGGATTTGCATCCGCGGCCTTATTTGGTTCTCTCTTTTTGAAAATATAGGAACTCATGTATACTATTCATTTCTTTTAGGCCCCGGACAGACTTCACGCGATTTGATCGTTGCGATCTAATCGCCAAGATTTCCATTCATTTTCATTTTACATGCAAAAATTCCGGGCTGGAAAAGTATCACAACCGAAATGCAAGTTGATCGGCACGGAATGATGTTGTAACAGTTGTCTTGTCGCGATTTAGTCGCGACGATTAAATCGCGTGAAGTCTGCCCGGGGCCTTAGGGCCCTGCGACATGTTTCCCTCTAATAAGCGCAAAAGCAGATCATCAACTATCATTATTTGTTTCATATGGTGGCTGGAATATCACTTGTCGTTTTCTGCGTTTTGTGTTGTTGCTTACGCGTCCTAATAAATTGACCTTAAAATGCTTTGGGGGAATTAGATTGTGTGTCTGTAGGTTGCATACTATAAGCGAGGCAGCAGGCACGGATCCTTGAAGTTTTGTAAAGATGGCCGGAGGCGGGAAGCATGATTAGTAGCCCGCTAAGGTCACTCCGCTCGTCCGGTTTGATGGAGGAGCGTAGAAGCGGAGTACTATTAGCGGGAGAGCGGAATGAAGCATGTTAGTCTACCGCTAAAGGTACTCCGCTCGCCCGCTTTATATCTTAGCGGGCGGGCAGCGTGCCTTTAGAGGACGAGCGGCGAGAGGCATCATCGTCCGCCCGGTAGAGGCCCCCGTTCGTCCGAGTTATTGTCTGAGTGGATTATGTAGTGCTTTAGCAAAGACCCACATTGAACGCTTTCTCAAAAAGTCAAGCACTGCATCACTGCAAAGATAGCGAAAACACAAGCATGACCATATGGAAATGGTGCACTAGTAAGCACGAGAATTCTCCTGTATTCATACGGATAGCGAAACATAAGAATATGCAAACGACCAAAGTGATAATTATTAACTTTCCGAAAAGCAAAGACTCTAACACAAAAACCTTGACTCACTCAGCTTTCGAAAAACAAGTCATCCGACAATTTAGAGTCAAGGAAAGGCGTTGAGACTAGAAGTATCTTCAGACAACTATTTCAAACAAGTTCCGTTTCTTTTCAAACAAAAACGAGGTGAAAGAACAATGCATGCATACAAAAAACTCTCAAGATGTCCCTCGCACCTCAGCGATATCGCCCAGTTGCCTGTGCAGCCACGCGACGCGACATTGCGGGGTGTTACCGAAATCGCGGCGGTTATCGCTGCAGAACTATGCCCTAGCCAAAAAGGGTCTGCCATCCGTTGCGCCGGACGACTACCACAGTGCCGTAGCGGACACGAGAACATGAAATTAGTGCGTAACAGTTGTCATTTCACAGAAATCGCAGTGCGGCGGAGTCGTACACTATGTCTAGGCCTAAGGCCTCGTGCAGAGTTCACGCGATTTGATTGTCGCGACTAAATCGCTAAAGATAAGTGTCACGAGTTCATTGCATGCCAATCTCCTTGCATTTCGGTCGTGATAGTTTTTCCAATGATCGTGACTGACTATCACAACCGAATTAAAAGATCGGCCTGCAATGAACTCGTAACATTTGTCTTGTAGCGATTACATCGCGACGATAAATCGCGTGAGCTCTGTGCGAGGCCTAAGGGGGAAACTGGTAGCGTTGGCCGTGCGGGCTGAATCGTGTTTTGCGAGCCACTTTGAGGACAAATTTCGCGGCGTAGAAGGGCCCGGGTCGGGTCGGACTTGGGGCGGTCGCCTATTCAGAGGGTCCTCTAACAAACTATGTGGAGACCACCCGTATTACCTCAATTTTGGTGAGACATTGCCTATAACAGAATGACTTCCGTAATTTTGCCGGGCGAAGCCGGATATGCCAAAAAATATTTTAGACAACCAATTTGAAGTCTTAGCTTGGTGGAGAATAAGCGGCGCAACCTGATTTCTAAACTACATCAGATTCCCAGTTTTGGTAAACTTACAGGAGCATGCGGTGACATGTAGAGCTCGGCCACATTCTCTCCATACTCGTTATAGCAGCCGATTGCCAAAGTGGTTAGAATCCTGAACAAGCGTGACTGAATGCGTGGCATACATCATCAACTGAATAGCTTACATGTGTAGAGTAAGCCCCACCACTCGAATTACCATTAGTATAACAAATGGGGTACACCGATCCTAACGTCTTTGAAGGCATCACAACTAACAATGAGCATCAAGTTATCAGATTGATCTAGATACATCACAATCTTATTCTTCTTCGAGAAGATTCTCAGTAGGAGTTCACCTGTGCGTTCCCTTCGGCCTAAGTCCGTTAGTTTACTCTGCCTTCCAAGGTAGCGGGAATTATTTTAGCTTGTTCCATACATAAGGAGGGACGGAAGTGAAGGTAGAGGCCAATCTAGGCATAAGCATCCATTTGGGTCATCCCTATACCCCCTTTTGCATTTCGGTTACATCAAGTTCACTAAGCAGGTCCGTTGAAAAAACAGATTTTTAAACAAAAAAACCTAAGGAACAGAAAAACGACTGCTATAAGTTTCAAAGCCCATTAGAGAGCAGAATTGGTATCGCTGAAAAATATGCGTTGCAGCTAGATTTGTACCTTCAGGTAATGGATAATTATTCGATTCCACTACACAAAGGGCCTCCAGGACGATTGCCGTGGGCGATGTATTTTAGATTACTACGATATGTGCTAATTGGATGTGCAAAAGAGCAACGCACATGGACTTTTTCTGCACCAGCTGGTCTCTGATTCTCTTATTTATCTAAACATTGAGTAAAGCGTAGGGGAACGAACACTTCAATTAGGTCTGTCTCCGCGGGCTGCTGGTCCTTTCGTCCTACTGTTGTGCATCGCGTTGGGACCAGTAATCCACGGAGGCGGTGCCTAGGGCAGGTTGAGTCACGCAGGACAAAACGAGGTGTCGTCACGGAATGCCTGCGCCACTCCCGAAATCGGGTCTGGACAAAATCAGGACATCTGTTCGGGACAAAAGTGCGCGACAAAATCAGGTGCCCCGACCGACACATTCCGGACAAAATCGGAACACTTGCGGAAGACACCATAATGTCCCGATCGCATCAAAAGCACCAGCCTAATGAGCCCTGTAGGTCTTTTCTCACGCCCCCCCCCCCCTCTTCACTTTCCTTGTGTCCTTGGTCTCTTTGGGTGTCATTTTTCACGCTTGTTATTTTTCTACTCGTAAAACACATAAATTTATTGCCAAAAACCAGACAATCTGTTTGTTGACAATGAAATCACGAAATGAATAGAAATCAGCAAATATAAGGTTCAGCTTACAACAGCAACACGAAGGTACGAGACAAATACAGCGATAACAAAAATGTAAATAATATTATCAAGCTTCTCAATCTCTTCAAATTCATCTCCAACGCATTCAACCTTCTCAATCACTCCCTTAGTGATACTGCTCCCTTCACTGCCTTCGATGAAGACACGCTTTTTCGAAAATCAGAAATTATCAATACCAGTGATCATATAAAAGAGAGCTAACACGGGAAGGATACTTGGATGCCGTGGCCATTCATAATGATTTGTATACCAAAAAATGCGCCTTTCAAAGCTGGTTCGTAAGCTGTCTTTCATATCTGCGAAACGATAACCTGAACGGAGTTATGATTTTTTTTCATTAAAAAATTGCGTCACTGCGGAGGGTCAAAATCATCAATAAAAAGTTTTCTCTCCTTTTCAACTGCTGAGTATGATTTAGATAGTCTAAATAAACAGTTCTACGTCTAAAATTTTCTTCAGTAGTATCAAATGGTAGGCTAGATCAGATCTGGTGATTTCTACTATCCAGAAGTAGGCTAAGTTTTTAAGAAAAAAAATTCATAACTTCCTTCAGAAGATCGTTCCGCAGATATCGAGCACAGACTCAGAATCAGCATTTCGAGGTGCGTCTCATAATATACATCGCATTTCAAACAGCCACGGTCACCAAGTATCTTTCCCTTGTAAGAGAGAAAAGAGAGGAGCCTTCTTGGAAGTTGATTTGAAAATGAAACTAACGCTTCCGGCAGCAATACAGAATGAACTCAGTAATTTAAGGTTGTACTCGCCTAAACGTGCGTCCGCTCTTCGGGAGAAAATCGCATCAAAATCTGGATAAAACTATAATGATGACTAGCGCCGGTGCACCGGATTTTGGTGCGACCACCTGTTTTGTGGGCGGATCCCCTTCGCAACTCAACCGCGAATGTCTGAGATCCCGAAGTTGGGGAACAGTTCGAGCACAGCGTTACTTCGGGATCAGTATAAACGCATCCTAAATTAAGGTGTTCGTTCCTCCACCTGCGTCGAACAAAGGACGAGACAATCACCTATCGTCAATTGTTGACCGCACGGACTGCTCCAACGCTGCGGGCCATGCGCGGCGCTGCTGAAATGTTGCGAGCACGACTTGTATAAGGGCGAATCTGTACTGGGTCAAGCGTTTTACCTCGCGGCGGGTGCTCCGCAGTGACGTCCAGTCCGTGCGGTCAACAAATCGCCAATAGAGTGTTGCCTGGCTGCGCATTGGAGTTTTTGCCTCCGACGTGGATGTTACAGCTAATGCAAGCGCTAAACATTCCCCATAGCAAAACCTCTGATTTGGCTGAAGTACTGTTCTGACCATCTGCAATCTGAACAACTTTCTAGTAGGGTTACGACCTGTTGAATCATTGAGGGATACACATTGATGCTGTCGATGTTAATGAACATCTCAAAATCGGCTTGCACAAAGTTTTGACACATTGTTACTGGAAAATGTCAAAGGACTCAATGACGTCATTTTTACCATACGGATGTTGCGCTTGTATAAAAATAGAAAGCTGGCAGATTTTCAGCAGAGAAGAAATTTGGTCATGATTTCAGTAGAGTACGACTCCCAATCAAAGCAATACTCCCCTTTTCAACGCGAGCTTCAAGTGTATCTTTCGTCTTGTCTGTCCTGCGCCTCTTTATCTGATTTACAAAGGGAGGATTTTCAACTTTTTTTAAGTATGCGGAAGACCGATTTGAGTTCCGTTACCTTACATTGTCCTTTAGCGTACATAAAAGTTAAGTTCAAAGCGATTTTACCGTTTCAAAGTCTGTCTTCGTAGTGGGATTCGAGCGTTTACGCAGTTAAAGGCCCCCTACAACGCACTCCCCAACTTTAGATGGGCACTGACTCAATGTAGTAGTAAAGCGAAGTCGAAAATCAACCGGATCTTTCATTTTCAACAGGTGATGATCATTAAAGGCAGTGCCCAGGCAGATTTGGACATTTTCGGATATTGCCATAATCGAGTACTAGGGTTTCAGTCTAGAACTATCGCGCAGATCCTTTCACTTTCAAACACCCCCTGTAATAGGAGAAAATTGGCGCAGAAAACGCCGAGCCCCAAGGACCACGCCCAACGGCCTGCCTCCTTGAATGAACTCTCCTCAGTCCTCAACGTGTTTTCACGTGACAAACACAATCGAACACATGGTGTCTACCTGTCAATGCTTGCTTTCGACAAAGATAGCATTAGAGGCACTTGTCCGCGGTTTTCACAAATTGTCTCAAAAATAAGGCTTTTTGAGAAGTTCACGCATTTTGCGTGCCATATTTGATACCAGCTGGCTTACCCGGTTCCGCCGTATGTTCCGAATAGAAAATTCCATTTCTGAACCGATCGGGACCAAACTTGGCATACATACACGTCGGGCCCCGGCGGGTGTCATAGGCTACTTTTCGTTATCGATCGATGTCAATTTTATCGGTTTTTTGAAAAATTTGAGCTAGGGGGCTGGAATTTGGCAGGGGGGTGTAATCGAGCATGCTGATCACCCCCACGGGGGTGATCAGCATGCTCGATTACCCCCCTGTGCCAACTCCCAGCCCTGTAGCTCAAATTTTGCAAAAAATTGATAAAATCAATATCGATCGATGACGAAAAGTAGCCTATGACACCCGCCGGGGCCCGAAGTGTATGTGTGCCAAGCTTGGTCCCGATCGGTTCAGAAATGGAATTTTCTATTCGGAACATACGTACAGACATACAGACATACAGACAGACATTCAGCTTTATATATAAGATCAGTGCCATGAAAAGGCTGGATAAGCCAAAAAAATAGAAGTCGAGATACTGCCTGGACGCTGCCTTTAAGATCTTGATTAAAAAGTAAGCTCTTACTGAATGTCATAGTTCAACAGATATAACAGTCAACATAGTGTTCCCGCGGTGCTTTCAATACAACCACGCTTGAAAAAAAAAAACGGTTGAAAGGCAATGGCTTTGGGAAATTACTACCCAGATTTTACCCCTTTCCTGGGGTTATGCAATACGCTGATCCTGGAACTCCATCTTGTAGAGCACGATAATGGCAAAAACCAGGGTCGGTAGTAAACCTATCGAAACTCAGAGTTGTAACTCAGAGTTAACTCTGAGTTATCTCTGAGCTAACGCGCAACATTTTGACCCCCTTACAGGTGTTTGAACAGATCAAATCCGGAAAGCGATGATATGGCAGGATTCTCCGTAGTTTATTCCTAGTAGCGCAACATTGTCCAAATCGTCCTGCACAAGAAACAGCGCCACCAAACGCGCAACTAGTGTCTGCGATAACTCTGAGTTTGGTGCGAGTTCCAGTCTATCGTGGAACTCAGAGATAACTCTAAGTTTGGTCAGAGAAAGAGAAATAGTGCGCAAAAGAAGAGGGGCAGCTAAAAAGTCCTCCGGGGTACATTTTGCTCGTAGTTTAAGCAGGCATGATGGGGTATCGTGGTGCGCAGTGATTTACAAAATTTTGAAATTTTGTAAAAACTTGGCCCAGGGGGTTATTCGGTGCGCTAATCACGCATATGGTACCCATTTTTCACTATGGAGTCATGTAGAGGTGTTACGGTAGGTTTACGGTAGATGGAAGAAAATCATGAAACTGATCGAAACTTGGTACACTGGGGTTATTCGGGGCGCAGATAACGAATATGACATGCAGATTATACTGTGGTGTCATCTGACGAGGCTACGGTAGGTTTACGGTAGATGGGAAAAAATCACGAAACTGATCGAAACTTGGTACACTGGGGTTATTCGGGGCGCAGATAAGGAATATGACATGCAGATTATACTGTGATGTCATCTGACGAGGTTACGGTAGGTTTACGGTAGAT